GCTCATTGTTTATATATTATTTGCTGTGAGCTCTAAAAAACTACGCTATAGAGTTGTAAAAAACATTAAGTAAATGTTTTGCGAATAAATATTTTGGTTTTCAAAAACTAAATTGAGTTGTGTTGAGGAAGAGGTCGTGGTTGCAGAAACTACTCGGGAGATCCACAAATGGCTCCGCAATCGTCATCAATAGCAAGTTCGTGGTGGCCTTGGTGCGTGTTGTGGTGCATGTGAGCATCATTGTTGCGTCTCTTAATTGCTCAGTATCGCGCCTGTACACTTGCAATTCTCCAAGATGTTTGGTTCCGCGATGATAGTTAAAAATGAATAGTCTCGGTAAGTGCATGTAAGTACCTCAATCCGAAGGATACGGGTAATTTTGATCCTCACAAGCCGTGGTACCGGGTGTTCTGGAAGGATAGCACACACTGCGGCCACTACCACGCTCAAGTGATTAAGCTTTACGGTAAGTCCGCGCCTCTTGTCTTCCCAATACGAAAACAAAGAGGAGGAAGCAGTCATTCTGAAGTTATCCACTGGTCATATTTTCTTAGGTACCGAGGACGATGCAAGGAATGCAACAAAAAAACGAACATCCATTCCGCAGACCCGATAGCGACTCCTCCGATAGCTGCAGTTCAAATGAAGTGGACAATGAGTCGTTTAAAAAAAAGTAAGTTGCAATCGCTCACACTGCAGCTGATATGCTACTTGCAGCGTAATTATTACCGACAGCCAAGTTTGGCTATCGTTGACATTGCGGCTGATGTGCTACTGCTGCGTAATTATAATTGACAGCCAATTTTGCTCTGCACGTGGTGCCGTGTCACACCTGAAGCGTGAATGCTCTGATATACTCCCCGCCCCCTTAGCGAATATATCAGAGCATCGCTGCTCCACTACTGCGCGAGCGCCGGAACGTCGTATTGGAGGTGGTAGTAAAGTTTCAGTATGCTGAAGAGCTATTTTTATTTTATTCTATCATGGTATGAGTGCAGGTTAGTCACATTTTTTTTGTACGATTGATTGGTTTAAAATTATTTTTGCTTGCGCGGATACACGCCCTGTTAGTGCTTGCGAACTAGCAGTGAAACTTGTGTGTTGGGTTGTCTGTACTTGTAAGAAACACGACTTCCAGCTGCTGTTAAGCAGAAGACAAAACAGGTCAGTAACCATTTTAAGAAGCAGCAGCGAGACGTGCTGTTTCCTGATGCTGAAAAAAAAAAAAAAAAAACAGAGAAAGAGCTTCTGAAAGAAGTCAATATATATGCTGAGGGCTCAAAATACAAAGCTATAGGAAAGAATAAGCCTACTGGAAAATGCCCTTCACAGCAAATATTTCCAAATAGGTTTGATTATCATTTCTTTATAAGCTGGTGTAATGCACTGCTGCTAGGGTTGTATACATCAGCAAGTTGACCTCTTCTTATAGCATGCAATTTTGCTGAAAAGCAGAATTCAATGTAAGCTCATGGGTGGCAGTGATGCATGCATGTTTTTCTAATCACTTGTAAGTGTGCTTTTACAACTTTCACAGCGGGGTGGATAAGAAAAAGAACACCACTTGGTCAAAATTTCTTGAGCCCTCCACTACGGCATCCCCTATGGTTTTTAGTCGTGACAAGCAAAGGATCATTATGCTTTAATTGCATATCTCAACTGCATGATGTTTATCATATATGTTATTTGATCATGCATGCCGAGGATGCTACCGTGACAATTAAGGGTGAAATACACTTTATTTCTGCACACTCAACTTTTTCATTGCAGCAAAGAACCTCGTCCTTTGCCGGTGTTGCAGCCACAAGCCTGAAAAACTGAAACGACTTGCACCTTTACCACCACTATGTGCTGTCATGCTGGAGCCGCCACAGCGACCACGGACAGCCCTGAAGTAGCCCACTCAAGTGTGAGGGAAGCTGCACCGCTTATCAATTATGTGCCGACTGACTGAGAGGTATCATAAAACTCTACCTTGCTTTGTCTTAAAGGTATATTTCTTTGCTTTAATGAAAAAATATGCATTGACAAACTGATGTGTGCACATCATCTTTGACTTGTTTTATAGGTGCATCGGGGGAAAAGGAATTGCCGTTCCCAAGGGGTTGTACAATTGCCTCATGGGCTTGAAAAGAGAAACCTGTTTCGTTTGTGAGGTGGCCATTGCCATTTTTTCTACAGCAGGCCTAGTCGGGAGAAGTGTTATTGGCGCAGCCTCCAATCAGTCTAAAGGGGAGGCGAAATCTCCCTCGGAGAAAGAAAAAATGCTGTGCTTTCAGGTAGGTGAAATTTTGCGATCTGACCAAAATTCATGGAAGTTGGTGGCTCCATTTTTGCACATGATCAGCCGAGGTTTAACTGCCAACTTGTGTTATAATTACTTACTAAAGCTTCAAGACTAGCTTTTGCCTACTGGAGCTGGGTACTTTTATGCAAGAATCCACAAACTAATTTTAAACTATAATAGAGAGGCAGACTGGTAGCACTAGAGAGGCAGACTGGTAGCACTCCTACTTATTTCCTTGTCATATTGACTCCTCTCTTTATAGTGCACATAATTGTCGCTTAACAAGTGCCCATAACTTGCTGTGTTTTTGATGATGCAGATTTCTTCAACCATTTTTTTGAAGCATACCGTTCTGATTGGGGAGGTTGAGCAAACCAAGAAGCTCCTCAATAAAGCTTTGGCAAACAAAATTAATGACTTGATGAAATCAAAAGATTAACAATGGAATGGCACATCAAATAAAATATTTTGTTTGATTTCTGTGTTCATATTTGTGTCCTGCTTGCTCTGATGTAGTGGTGCACCTGCCAGTTGGCTATGCACCGATTCACTTGGGGGATCATCAGAGTAGAATGCTACACTTATTAGCTGATACACCCATACTGGTACACTGATAGACTGATACACTAATAGACTGATACACTCGTAGACTGATACACTGATAGACTCATACACCTATAGACTGATACAACTGTCAATAACCTGATAGCCTATCAGTTTTTCTATCAAAATTTTTGCTAGGGTTGCTAGCTTATTTGCCTCTAAAAGGGCAGGCTTTTGGGCTGGCACACAGTTCCGCAGGCCTTTCTCATGCAGTCGATGTCTGATGGTGACATGCTGGCCGAGAGGTTCAAGCTGTCCTTGATCTGTCGAGCTGTGACGAACGGAGCCTCCTTTGCAGCTTGTACAATAAGTAGGTCCTTCGCACTGTTCGTCGCCCGCTGCCTAGTGTCCACGTGGAAGGTTCCAGAGGCGTCCATCATCATGGAATGCCTGGCGAATTCTCTTTATAGTAGACTTAGGTCGGTTCATAATTCTGGAAATTTCACGCTGTTTAATTTCGTGCCAGTAAAGTGAAACAATCTGCGCTCTGTCTTCCAAAGAAACGCTCGGCATTTCTTGTTAAAGTGAAGCCTTTTCGGGTAAGTCTCTAAAAGAAGGATGCAGGTAAAGCAGCACTGGTGAACGAGATACGACGATTGTTTGAAAATTAACCACAAACGAATTAGATTTATCTTTTTTTTTTTTATCGTGCCTATACACCGATTGCACTGCGACACTGAAGTAAAAGCAAGGAATTGCGAGCGATACGATCAAAAGCGCTTGGCACGCCCACGATGTCTATCATTATCACCACACGAAAACTAGAGCAGAAATGGAGATAACGCACTAAAGGGGAATTGTGCAGTGCCGCCAAACTGGATGTTCAGGCCTGTCAATGGGGATGGCTGGACGGCGAACACAATGCTGTTTATAATACTTGAAACACGCGCTCCGCTGTTCGCATTTGATTTGATGCCGATAGTACTTCTACTTCCAACGAAATGTCGTTGTTGCTCGTACATTAACTGTGCTCACATTCATAGCGGGAATGACCCTAGTGGTCTTCTAAAACTTGAAGGCATACTGGAACCCCTTTTGCAGGGTGACTGCAATACAATTGTCCTGTTTACAGACAATTATGAAGCTCAGCAATAAGGTATTTTACTTCAATATTAACGTGGATTCACGCATGGTGGATCTACCGATTTTGACCCTAGGTTAAAGTCAAGTTACAGTACTAATTTTGGCGACTTGACATAACAGTCTGGCTAGTTATGATAACTTCGGGTACAAAAACTTCGAAAATGGCCGTATATGCGTCAACAACGAACCCGCTTGAGGGGCGGTCATCAAAACTTCACGATATTATCATGAAGCATCAGGGATGTACACAAATAATTTATATATAGCAGCTTTTTAAAAATCGGGAGCAAAGTTATTGACGAGATGGGCAAATCATTGTTTTGTGTCGGCATTTACCGCTTCTTTTGGTAACTTGTTCCATAATAAGGGATCATGAGGTTGAGGTGACTGAATTGTTACCTAACTGTTTTACTATGAGGAGTATGATGATAAGTATTGTGATGGGTATGATATGTCTTGAAATGATGAGCCCAAAAATGAACGAGCAGATGAAATGCGACAGGACTGAGGTTTGTTTATCGGTCTCTCATTCGTTTGTCCTATTTAGCGTTCTAAAACGAATACAAGTTAAAGTTGACGTGTATAAATATCTGTCGCATTTTTAGTGAGTTGTTGTGACTAGGCTGTTATTTAAAAAGTGGTATTTGTGCACATTCCTTTTTTTTTGCGTCTTTGAAAAAAAAAAAAAAAGACTATCAGACAACACTATTACTATAAACTAAGTCTTGCAGATTGGTTGAGAAGTATAAGTGTTTTTCTAATGATGTTTTATGAACCGTTATATATATATTGTGAAACAGTCACCACTTCTTTGTTTTATATTGTTTTAACTTTCAACATAGGTACGTTAATTACTGCTCCTTATTTGCCTTATTGACTGGGGCGGTTTACGGCACCTTCTCAGGCATTCATGCCTACCCTGTCCCTCACATGTCTACACTGTACTCTGTAACTGATTTATGATTGATTGATTGAATAAACCATGCTATATTTATATACAAAAAGAGATGGCTGCGCTCAAACGCAGGAATCGGTCTGGCCCTGTTTGTGGACTCGGAGCGGCACAAGCACGCCATGAAGGACACGGACCGGCTGAACAAGACCATCTTCATCACCTTCATGGCGGCGCTGCACGTGGAGGCGGTGCTGAACAACGCACTCCTATTCGTCCAGGCGCCCAAGTTTGTCGAGCTCTTGCGTATATGCGCTCGCATCGAGGTGCACACTGCTGTGCCCCCCTATGTGCAGCGTAAGACGGTGCGCTTTGCGTGGGCTATGGTCAGTGTTCCAGGTAAGTTGAACCGATCGAGGCATGGACTTGAGGATGAATATTCGTACACGTGTTATCTTGATGTGTACAGGTTTTACCCGCAAAGACTGTCTGCAACGCTCGGCGCAGACGGCACCGCAGTGTTTCAGAAGCTTCGCCTTTGTTTAAGATCGCGTGCAGGACGTCCTAGTTTATTCAAGCTGCTTACGCTGCCACCAGCGGTAACACCGGAATCCACGATAGCACATGTGTAAAGGCCGACGCGCCTTGCCATTTGTCAGTATATCGACGGCCGATGCTCTGCTCGCCACTTTAAGTGTGCTGTAGACCGGCTTTTTGCTTCTCCGGGTTCGCCTAAATGAAGAGTTTTGTTTTGAACACAGTGATTGCTAGTCCTCGTCAAGAGATCAAGCTAGGTGTGCTTACGGCAAAATTTTGAATCACCAGGACATCCGCCTACCAAGAACAAATAGTAATAAAGCAGCTATTCTCAGATAAAAAAACACGCACATAAGCTGAAGATTAACGGTGGTATTGTGCGCATACGGCAAACATCTAACTCATGACCGCTAGCTTGCCACTGCAGTCACTCGGCAGTGAATCCAGGACGTAGTGGTTGAGGCCCGTGACCTAAAATTTAGGCGCACGTTAAAGAGCATTAGGTTGTGGAAATTTCGGAATCCTCCCCTACTGGCGTCCCTCATAATCATTTTGGAAAGTAAAATCCCACAAATTATATTACTTCTATCAATAAAACACAAAGTGCACAACCGTTGTATTTTGCCACTCATAACATGGAAAATATATAAATGAACTCGAAGAGAAGCTAAGGACCACCGACCGTGCAACGGAACGTGAAATGGCAGGCGTAACTATGAAACGGGAAGGTGGCAGAGTGTTTTGGGGAATATACAAAGGTGGTGGCATGGAATTTCCTAAATTAACTAGAGGGCACTGTGGCACTGCTATCGTTTAGTGACCATGATAATCATAGATTTAATATACAGAATCTGTATATTAACTCTATGATGGGAATGATGGGTAGTACACGGATTGCCTAGTCTTTGTACTTCCTGGCCTTGAATCGCACTTGTGGCTTAGCTTATTGCTGTGTGTTGGTTTTGTTTTTAAGGAAAGAACGAAATCGTTCTGAACTTCGGGACCCGATTTGAAATGGTTAGCCTGAAAGATGAAGGTAGCGAAGTGCAACTGCTGAGCACATGATGATCGTCGTTTTGTGACAAAGCAACTTCATGCAACGCGGAATCAACTGTAGCCGAAAGTACGAAAATTAGGCAAATCTTGTCTACTGTCCATCATTTCTGCGCTCGCTGGAGCGCCGTGCAGTTGCAGCCCCTATAGACACTACTGTCAGAGTTCCCTCTAGTTAGAAAACTTCATATGTGGCAATATATCTGGAGTGATCACACCATGTCAAGGGCATGTGACAAATGATCAGTTAGAGCAGTTAGAGCAGCTGTCTGAAAGTCACCTTTGCTGCACAGCTACGAAATTTAGTCTCCCACAAGGGCCGCGACGATGATCATTGGAACAAAAGTGCAGAGAGATGGGCCAGTTGGTATAGATTCATTGTAGCAAACAGCACAAAAAACAAGATGGACGCAGGAGAAAGAAGTTCTCTTGTCTTTCCTTTACAGAGGTTTGATAACGCTACGAGAGTGCAGCAAATGGCCTTCGCCGCGGCAGTCGCTGCTTATGTCCCCACTATCGCATCAGAAGGCCAAATAGTTTTTCGCGCTGTTTGCTACGATGGATGATTGAAGCGGGGGAAAACAAAATGTCAGCGAACGTTGGCCCTTCCCATATCTCTTACGTTGCTCACTTCTGCGGGAGGTTTAGCGTCACGGTTTCAAGAAACAAGTTGATACGAATGGTTGAAGTACTGAAATCTGAACGCGGATTTTGAAATGCAGAGTTGTTGTTCCAAGCTTATGTGTCAACTCACTGGGAACGCATAGGGGGCTCCATCAGAAAAAAACAACAACAAAACTTTATATCAGTCACGTCTTTGTAGTGCATGAATATACTTAAAAGGAAAAAAAACACTATTCAAACAGTCAGACGTGGACTCCAATGTACGAAAGGAAAGATCTGAAATTTATGAGAAGTAACTGACAATGATACCAAAGAAATATTCGATATGATATTGGAAGTGACTAAAATGTAAATGTGAACAAAGAAAAGTAGACGAAAATATAACTTGTCACTAGCAAAATTCGAACTTACGGCCTTGGGCGACCTCGATGATTTCGAAGTCGCCCAAGGCCGCAGGTTGGGTGACTTCGAAAATAGGGCAACATTGTGGTGTCCAAGTGTTTTTTTCAGCACCCCATAAACTGTCATATCTTTCGCGTGCCACCTGTCTTGTGAAGAAAAATAATACGTAGGATGCACTAAGAATGTCATCTACGGTATTCCACTTTCAGGCAGAGGCTATGTAGGCCAAACAGGAAGGTATATGAATGACCGCCTTCGTGAGCACAACAATAATTTGCGCTTTGCTAGAGACGGCTTTTTGGCCATTCACTGCCGCTCCTGCGGTTGCATTCCTTATTTGAGAAAACCGTAATCATTGGCAGACATAAGCTAGGACTAGCACACACGCGAAATCCTCGAAGCCGTGCATATCGCGCAAGAAGGTTCCTTATGCATCAACATGGAATCTGTCTCTTTATCAATTCAAGAATTTTCTTGTTTGAAGAGCGAGTGTGATCATCTTGGCATGCCTTGTTTATATTTGTTTATTTTTTCATGTTTTCTTTTCAATGTTTTTTTGTGTGTTTTCTTTTCATGTGGAATAAAATTCAGTTGCTACTCGGCGCTTGTCATTGTCTTTTCTTGTGTCCCTGTGTTGAATTCACGCTGTTCGTACTTCATAGGAGGCACAATGTGGAAGAATAAATTGCCGATGTTATAGACCTACTCTGTAGTCGGGCTCTATATAAAAAATGCTGTTTTAGCAAGATGTGTGTCTTCCTATAGGTGACGATCATCGTCCTGAACGTGGCCCTAAACATCCACTCGCATTTTGGCACGGTGCTGCTGATTGAAGAAGGGCGCCAACTGAACCCACTCCTCATGAACCTGGTCATCAGCAACGGCTTCCTGGGCGCCATGTACCTGACGTCCATGTGCCTCAGCATTCGGCTGCTACTCATGTACATCTCCAGGGCCCTTGCGCTCTACCTGGGATGCATACACAGAAACCTGGACCAGTGCTTGCGCTCCAGGAGCACTCCGGAAAGCAGGTGCAACTTTTAAAGGCCGGTGAATAGGCTCCGACTTTTCTTTACACCCCCCAAAGAAGCTAGGCAATTCCTAGAGAAGGTTGCAGCGATCACGTTTCCAGAATATTACAGTGCCGCATGCTGCACAGGGCCTCCATTTCAAAAAACAATTCCTGCACTCTTTCTACACCTCGATAATCCTCCTTTCATGCGCAGTGATGCGATGTCGCCGATCGACGGCTTGGCGTAGAAAGCAGCAAGTCGATTAGTCTAAAAGACTCACGGCGACGGACTACGCATCGCCTTCCCTGTGAGGAAGAAGGGTGGCAAGGCCGCGCTAAAATTTGAAATCGGCTGGAATCGATGTTCCAACCCCTGTAACTTCCTTCATATAGCTCGTATTCGCAAAATCTTTATGGCAGCATATTGGCAAAGCAACAGCGGACATATTTCTCTTTATAATAATTTTCGGATTTCGGGATTGTTTACTGGCCTTTTAAGGAAGGTCTAAAATAACTGACATTTGGGTGGGTTGGATGCTCTTCAGCCGCTTGAGCGCAATACGAGGGCATAACGCTGGTGTCCTTTTTTTTTCTTTTACCCGTCTTCGTTGCTTCGCACTGAATCCCTCGACAAGGCTTAGAATACTGGTGGCAAATGTTTGGGGCTCTATAGGAGCTTTTAAACTAGCTTCAGATGCTACGTATTGGTACGAAAAGTAACGTAAATAACCTAAATTGTGAAGCCTCATTTTGAGTTTCGTATTCGCATTGGCCGCGGATTCTACACTTCACATTTTTGTGGATTAGCGTGCGGTGGCGCTGCCACTAGCCACTAGTTGGGTGCTCACGGGAAGACGACAAACGAGGCTGTAAAGGGCGATATGGGGTGGGCAGGTTTTGAGGCGAGGGAAGCGCAGAGCAAAATAAGGTTCGAAGAAAGGCTAAGAAATATGAAGGAGAGTAGATTGGCAGAGAAGGTGTTCCGTTATTTGTATAGGAAGAGCGTGGACACACAGTGGAGAAAAAGAACCAGAAGACTCACTAGTAAATATACGGCTGGTATTCTGAGCCATATGTCAACAAAGAGCGTTAAGGGAAAAGTCAGGGAGGCGGAGAGGATTTACTGGATGGCAGCTATGGAGAAAAAACCGGCTTTGAGTAACTACCGAAAAGGCAAAAATGAAATAAGGAGGGAGGCATTTTACGATAATTCAAGGGGAAGCGCTTTACTGTTTGAAGCGAGATCGGGTTGCCTTAGAACGCGTAGTTATAAAGCAAGATTCAGTAAAGAAGAAGAACAATTCACATGCTGCGGGAAAGATAAGGAAACGGCGGAGCATGTTCTGATTGAATGTGGAGATATCCACCCAGGTGTACGTTTGGGCACGAGCCTACAGGAAGCCTTGGGTTTTAGGGACAACAATGGAAAGCTGAACACACCCGCGATTGAAATAAGTAAGAGACGGTTACAGCATTGGTGGCAGAAAATTAGAGAGAAAGGACAAAAACAAATATTGGAAAAATAAAATATGGACAGTGTGCCGTAAATGGCAGAGAACTTAAGCTGAAAATTTACCTTTTTTCCATCAAGATAGAATTTATCGAAGTAGAGGCATTAGGCCAACATAAAGAAAAAAAAGAAAAAAGTTTTTTTTTTTTTGTCGAGCCTGGTGGCATACTTGTCACCACCCCGTTATAAAGGGGACGCTCATAGCATCCATCCATCCAGTTACGCTCACTATTATATTTCTTCTGTATAACTTCCCATGCATTTTATGTCACTTTTTGTAGCAATACATAACAAGTAAAGCTAGTTTTAAGAAAGAAATGAAAACCAGTACAACAATAAGAAGTGACACTAAAAACAAAAAAAAAAGCATCATCTACAGCTGCGGTTTAAACCCGCGGTTCTTTTGTGTGGAAAGCGAGCATTCTACCCCCTTGCACTACTTCGGAGGTGCGCGCATCTCTTAAAAGACTGCATTGCAGACTACGGATTGCAGGTTTACGAGCGGATTGGCCCTGCATGACTCACTTTTCGAGGCTCGTTGTGAGCACTTGAGGTAATGTGTACTTGAGGCATATAGTTTCTCACTTGAAGTACCTCAAGCCAGTCGGTGCTAGCTAACTGCCATTAATCATATCTTTGTTGTCCATGCCTTTTTGCTCTAAAATGTACGCTGGGCGTGGTTGGAGGTGGGTTATTACGCGAGCATTGTGAGCAAAGTTGTATTCGAATAATGGACAATTATCACGCGTTACTGTGATTTGCTGCGAAAAAATTCCAGCAACAGTGCATGAACGCGTAGATAAATTGATGGATAGACAGATGGGTATATGGTAGATGGATAGATTTGCCTTCGTAATTTTTGCGCATTTAAAGGAACACCAAAAAGCAAAGTGAATTTTCTGATATTAGTACATTGCTTTACCACGATACCAAATAACCAACCTTGCAGTGAGAAGACCCTTGGTAAGAGCAAGGAGGATACATAAAACTTGCTGGAGTGGAAGGGGCGCTGTGCGAGTGAAGCCAGCCGCCGCCATCTTGCCAGTGGCAAAAAGCGTGCTCAGCGCCATCGCGAGCTGCTGATTTCGTCCGTTCTTGTTTCACCTTGTCGGCATGTAAAGACAAATGGTTTACAATGGTTGCCTCTCGCGTCGTTTACGGATGTGCCAACAGGTTGAAAAAAGGTTGTGGCCTCACATTCCACCTGTACGTACACGAAAACGTCTTCGACATAGCCATTCCGCGCTCGTTACTAAAGGGAGCTATAGCTGACGTGATCTAAGCGTGCAAAACATAACAGTCCGGATTTGTTTTACAGGCTTCCCAAAGATCCCGTAACGCGGAGCCTCTGGGAGTGGGCCGTTCGCCGTGAGAAGTAGAATGCGAAAGACTGAGATCACTTCGCTCTGTGCACTTCGCGCCAGAGTGCTTTGACCACCTCTTTGACATTGAAGGGAAGCATGTGAAATGGGGTTATGAAGTGGCATTGAAGGCACTTCAACGTGAAGAAGGGTTGTGGCTCGGAAACAAACTTACGAAAGTCCATGTCCAATGGGAAAAGCAAAAAATGAAGGTATGATATGCTGTACAACTGATCGAGTGCCTCAGTTGCCGACGCTTTGGACTTCTGCGAACAAAAGCTAAAGCTGCCGCAATTCAAGGGTGCCAGCACAAGATCTACGTTTATTAGAACTTTTGATCGCTTGTTTGACATTTTAAACTCGAGGAACCCGCTGGCAAGGTCATACAAAGCGCCCCTTCGGCAGGGGAATGAAGCATTCTGGAAGTCGTTTTTTGCGGAGACTCGAGCGTACATGAACGGGCTGAGAGACCCGGCAGTGACAGAAAGACCGAAAAAAAAAAAACGGATTCATTGGTTTTTGGATACGCATGGCAAGCACGGAAAAAAATGTTTGACAGACTTGTCAGCCAGGGTCAGCTGAAGTACTTACTGACACACAAACTCAGTCAAGACTATGCCGAAAACTTCTTTGAATCAATACGTGGATGAGATGGCCATAACAACAATCCTACAGCTTCGCAGTTTATGGCTGCATACAAGCGTCTATTGGTTCAGACGGAAGTCACGTCTTCAAGTTCTGGACACTGCTTCCAAGATGTTCTCTCCGTATTGAATGCCACGACTCCTGCAGCCATGGTAGATCCAAAAAGCAATCTCATTGACATGCGCCAGGCCCTAGTCCTGCAGCCCGATGACCACGACAATACGCATCGCATTGACTAGCCCAAGCTTTTCTGCTTTTGTCGGTTCCGTGGTGCCATACATAGCAGGCTTCATTGTTCGAAAGGTCGAACTGCAACTACCTGTGAAGAGTGCATAGCAGCCATGCACTCAGATGAGCTGACACCTTTAATTAAATGTAAGAGGCGAGGTGGTCTTGTTTCACCGTCGCGAGATGTCATTAGCCTCTGTAAAGAAGTCGAGGACTGAGGCGGCTACAGGCTGAATGTGATTACATCACAACGGCGAAGTCAAGAGCAAAACACCTCATCCTGAAAGTTCTATGAGCTTCCTCCGAGAAAAACTGGTTCCATAAACTAGAGCAGCACGTCCTAGACATACGCTTGATAATCAGGTTTACAGATTGTGCAGGCTGATCGCCGAACAATACGTAAAAGTGAGGATACAACACATGACGAAGGAAAAAAAAAAAAAACGAGAATCGGTCAAAAGTAAGGTGGGATCACTTTTGACAAGGGCAATAATTTTCAACCACCAGTAGGGCACCTATGTTTTCGATGATGTGTCTGCTTTAGGCATCGCTATTTGATGCATATCCACTTTTATTGAGTTCTCTACATGCCACTTGGCTGCGTACAAGTCGCAATAAACATTTACAACCAGAATTACTTGTTTTCGTTGCTTTATAAACACACGAGTCACTTCACCCGCAGCGCGATGACGCATAAATTTGCAGCGCTCGGCTCTTTTCTGCCACTGGCAACATGGCCGCCGCACGCTCGGCACGGCTTCACTCTCTCCCGTAGCGGCGCATAGGCGGCTTCCACTCCAGCAAGTTTTATGTATCCTCCTTGGGTAAGACGTGCAAAAAGAAAATACAAATAGCGATGCCATCTTGAAATTCCCGCAACAAGAGGCATGACGTGATTGATTTTGACTATGTTGGGACGTACACAGTTCCTAATCGGTAAGACTCACGGTGGGCACAGACTTTCGAGGTATCAGAAAATTTAATGCAGCCTTTGTCAGCAAAAAAAGACAAATGCATTTTGAAATCTGTGACGTCACGTGAGGTGATTTCGGCATGAAATTTAAGGATGGAACTCTGATCCTTATTTTCTCCTGTTTGAATAAACTTATACGATGGTGAAATTAGGGACATTTTATTTCTTAGAATACAACTTATTATTACGATAGCAAATATATGGGCGCTCTCGGCTGGATTTTTCCGTCGGCGTCGCCGCCACTCACCGTGTGTGTGTGTGTGTGTGCGTGCGTGTGTGTGTGTGTGTGTGTGTGTGTGTGTGTGTGTGAGAGAGAGAGAGAAAACGCAAGAATTAAAAGTTATCCAGAAAAAGAATGGCACGTGGAATCGAATGTCGGATCTCCTAATTGTGTGTGCAAGCCATTAGCCACTTAACCACGAAGGAGCACCTGCTTCAACGTTCAAACGACAAGCTATTTATATCTACCACTTACTGTTGTTGGTGATCGGCATCTCGGGGGAACTATCGTGTTTTCAGCATTACCAGCAAGATGGTGCAATGAGCGCACGTCGACACATTGTCATGACATGGCGGGGCACGCTCTCATCTCCCACGCGTACTTCGCCCCACGGGAAGCAGGCAGGGGGGACGTTTACGTGTGTGCTTATCTTGCGGTGGGGACAATCGTATACCTTGGCTGGCCTTGGGCTTTCACCGGAATGATTATGTTGTAGTTACTGGTTGCACGAAAGTCACGGTGATTGTTGCACAGTTTCCGTTTGCAAAAAGGGCGCACTTTTCAGACACAGAGAAGTAACAACTGATACGCTTATTTGTATTCATCGGTACCTGTGAGTACGTTTTGTGCGTCATTTGTGCGTGGAAAACGCGGGCCATGTTTTGATCTGCTTGCCACTTAACGCGGGACCTTCAAATTCGTTGCTATCGCATTCGTTGCTTTGCCTTTGTGGCAAAGCTGTGACTTTTTAATCCAAAGCAATTTGTTGTTTCATTTTAATTGACACCACAGAAAAGTGCTCCTGGTGGATCACATGCGTGTCCAGCTGGCGCTGCTGAAAAATTGCGTCGACCTTGCCAGCTCGCTACTGGGTCCAAGCCTGCTGTACGCGTACGCCTACAGTGTGGCCATTTGTGCGCGGCCGCTTACTACACGATCATTCCGGAGCTGGAGTTCAGAGTGCGCCTCTTCTTCTTCTTCTTCGGGTCGCTGCACTGGCTCAGTGTACTGCTGCCCACCATCACAACGCATCGCATGAAGGCCGCTGTAAGATTGTTCGGTTTTCTTTCCACTGGGTGCAATCGAAATTATGTTAACTCTAGTCATGTACGACCTGATTTCATACTATTATTTTATTTTGCACTTTGGTTATCCATCTTATTGCTCTGTGCATTTGTGCAAGGAAGAGTATGATCTCTATATTTAAACTTGTCATTTTGCCACTTTTCAAAACTTTCTTTCACATACACGGTTGCGGCGACCGTCTCTTGCTTTCTCCTCTCGGAATTCCAAGCGTCACTGTTTGCTGGAAGCGAGCGTACTTCATGGACCTTTTGATCGGGCGGCGGCTCACGCCACCTAACTCTAATTTAGTGAACTTTACTCCTGTGGTTAGCCATCGATCACATAACTTCTTCCTGGTTATTTTTATCCGCTTATTCACCGTTTCCAAACCCGACTGCTTTGAAAAATTTAGCGCCTTAAACTCTAGGGTCTTGTTTCTTCCTCCTCCCCCTCTTCACAACCCGTCTATCCCTTCGTATAGTGCTTGGTACTACCGCCCTGTTTTCAAGCAGCAGAGGGATACCTCTATCTTACGTCTTCTCCGTGGTCCTTGAAAGTACTGGTTTTATAATCATCCCATTTTCAGCAGGCCTCTCTTTAATATTTTCTTAATTATTTGAAGAAGTCACGTGGCGGAATCAGTTGAATAGACGTCGAACTGAGAACACTGTTGCGTCTTACCTCCGGAATTACAACACCATTCTTGCCGGGACTGCCATAAAGCAGTTAGTAGTATTTTAAAGTAGACAGAGTCATAATGCTGACAGTAAAGTGAAATGTTTGCTATTAAGACCCATCTATATTTAAAGCGAGCAGTGTTGTTATGGTTGCAATATAAGAAAACATAACACATACATATTGATGGGCTTTTAGACACGAAGATACCAAAACTATTGTGATCTTAATAAATGGCACGTAATGTTGTGTTTCAGGTGATCGAGTTGCGAAGCGCAGTGCAAGGAGTGTCTATGGCAAATTACTCTGATGACCTTTTAGCCCAGGTGTGTGCTGTTCTCTTGCATTATTTCTACAGCAAAGCTGTCTGTGTGGACGTCGGCGTAGGTCGCGCTACAAATGTTTTCGTGCCCAGGAGGAAAGGCTTTGCGGGGTCACATAATAAAGCTTACGGATGGCAGCCCATTCAAACAGAGTACATAGAGAGCTGTTGTTCGTGATCATAATAGGATGTACACCGGGGCAGACAGGAAGAGGCTAGAAGAGGCGGCTCATACCCCATGCTGACCAGAGAAAAAAACACCATAGAAGTGACGTAAACAAGAGCAGGGACTTCAAAGAACTGAATAAATAAGCAACAGCCACGCACACTGACTGCTTTCATGGCATGCAGCAGGCCATACTCCTGGCTTTTTCGCCGAGTTCTGCCAGCTAACAAATTGTTAGCGATCTTTATTAAATCACTGAAACTTGCGAGTGTCTATTCACAATCAGCGGTGAATGCTCACGCATTTCTTAAACAACTGTCAGAAGCCATTTTGTGAGAGCTTTGTCTCTTCGGCATAGGTTCTGAAATAATAATTTGTCATCATAGATTTATTAAGCACTCTTGTTTAGAGTCCTTTTGAGAGGCTACGGCATCTTAGATTTTCTTCAAGGGGAACATCCTTCCGATGATATACCGTATTTACTCACGTAATCCTCACACTCGCATAATTCTCGCACCCCCCACATCGCCCAACAAAAATACAATTTTTTTTTTTCCTCGCGTAATTATCGCACCCCCAAAAACTGCTGCAATAATGTCGTCTGCTCTTATTGCACGTGGATTCAATCCAAGCCAAGCCAAGGCAAAGTGGTCAGTGCGTGTTGCGGCGTGTTTTGTATGTTGTGTCAGTAATCTTGTCACGTTACGAGGCGATGCTGATGCTGTACGGCTGCTTTCAAGTTGCAAGTGATAGATCGTGCACTAAACAACGGCAACAGAGCTGCTGGTAGGCCCTTCGGAGTCTACGAGTTTTGTGTTCGCTACTGGGGACGGCAGCTTAAAGCCATCAAGGCGTGTTGGGCCTGCCGTGTGCCTAAAACTGGGATTGATGGTAAACTTTATTTCTTCAGAAGGAAACTGCGGGCAATTCTGTTAAATAGCCATCAACCCAATACTGACATCCCACGCTTACCTTTTGAGGGCTCCTGTTGAGCGACGAACGCTACCGTTATGCCCGCCACGACCGCAAGCTTTGCGTATGGTATTCTAAGTCTCGACTATTTGCTTCCAATTTTTGCGTCTCTAATAAATCTTGTCTTGTGTTGAATCTCTGCTTTTGTTGTTGAGGTAAGTTTTAATTAGTACTTCTTAAAGCTTGCTGTTAGTTGCTGGTGTGAGAATCCCGATTTGCGGCCACTTCGTTTTCTTTTTCGCTCTGTACATAGGTTTTCGTAGAAAGTTTTTCCCGCGTAATTCTTGCACTCCCAAACTTTTAATCGGTTTTCCAGCAAAAAAAGTGTGAGGATTATGCGAGTAAATACGGTAGCTGTTTATTCATAAAATGTAGTGTAAATATAGCAATGTTCTTATGAAAACAATAATTTATATACCTAATATATTGTTAAACACAATGACAAGAATGAGTGGTGTATAAACAGCTAAAGGCAACATGCACAGTTATAAATGATGAAGAACAAAGGTCTACTTATTTGTATTTTGTTTTGTGAAATAAGCATTCAGTTATATGCGTGTCTTTCTGCTCACGTTGTGTTATTGTGCTTTAGTTGGTTACTACAGCCGTCCAACCTTAATGACAGCTTTGAATCTTCCAGGATAGGTGTCGATAAAAGTTGGTGCAGGTTAACACGTACATCAATCTGCATACAGTGAAAAGTCAGTGATGAATCCTGTTTTCATGCATTTTAGTATTTGCCGCATCGTAGTTGGCCTCGACATTTTCCTGTTTTTTTGATAAAGCAGCACTGACAGATCTTTTCACAACGTCACGATCTGTGACAGATAATGCCACTGGACACTCTTATTCGCAGCTGCGAATGATGCTAAACAGCATGAAGCATGACGACCTCAGGTTCACGGGCTGCGGATTCTTTGTGGTTGACCTATCGACATTCGCTGACGTGAGTAATGAATGCAACTGCCTGTCTTTTGCTACAGGAATGAAAGATCTTTGTTTAGGAGTCTGTGTGTATATAAAAAAAATGCAGATACCACACACTGTAGAGATCTACGTTTTTAATTGTCTTGTGTTTCTGCGCACGTTGTGCAGTCAGCAAAGAGATACACATGTCCTAGTTAAGCCTTTCTTATTGGCAAGTCATTATTATCAGATCAGAGATCATTCGCTGCCACATGCTGACCATGCATATTGTAAGTACTGGGCTGACAGACTAAAACGCGATATCTCGTTATTTTAATCACAGCTTGTATGCACCAATAGTTAAGATAACCTCGCCATGTTGCTATGAATCTGGCCGCTAAAGCCAATGTTCAATATGATGTAAATACATGAGTTTAAATTACACACATTGATGTGATGAGAATCAAAAACGGTGCACACTTAAGTAACAAACAGACTCACTCGGACTTAAGCTCACCAATCATCACGACCCGTCAGACAATAACCTGTCAGTCTGAATGAGACGACTCATGACCTATGCGCACCAGTGTGGCTGGTAGAGAGAACAATCCACTTCGCAATGCTTGGTTCAAAGAGAGAAATCCAGTCTGCTTTTCGGGGACTTCTTTGCACGAAATCCTGCCGGAATTTGTACTGTGAAGTTGTGTAGCGAATTGTTGCTTTTTCACCCTGTACCAAAACTATCATCATCGTATGCACCACAGAAATTGAGTAAGCCAACTGTGGACTAGTAGGCCACTGGTCTACTTAAAATAAAGTTAGCCCAACTAAATGGTCTTTGCCACAGAAAAGTTTTGTGGACTGTCAGAAAACTATCATAAATGGGCTTGTGCCTCAGAAAATAAGTGAATCCCTTTTCACGCAAGTTCCACAAAAATAGAAGAAAGTAACAGTTAGCCCAACGAATGGCTGTGAAGTGATGAAGACCATACATCTAGACAATACTAGGTGCCGTGAAAGGCACCAGTGGCTGCAAGAAGGGCTTCAAAGAATTGGAAAGCGTATGATGACTTGGCCGTGACGTGTCCGTGACTGTGTGGTTTAACTCAAAATGCACATCCAATGAGAAGAGGCCTTAAAACGTTCTGTGCTGAGAATCAACGTACAAACAACCTAGCATCAACTAGGGCCTAGCAAAGCCCTAGAAGCAACCTAGAAACAGTCGATTTCACCGTGCTGCAACCTAGAAACAATCTGGAAGCAACTAGATTTGTCTTCAGAATCATCCACTTTCACTGTTCATTGAAACAACCTGGAAGCAATTTAGAGACAACCTAGAAAGCATCACATAGAAAGAACCTGGAGAAATCAGATTAGTCTTCAGATACATCCTGTTTAACTGTTTACTGGGACGACCTAAAAGCAACTTAGAGACAACCTGCACCTCTTAGCATCACCTAGAAAGAAACTAGAAGAAACCAGATTAGTCTTCAGAATCGTCCAGTTTCTCTGTTCACTGGGATGACCTAGAAGCAACTTAGCGACAACCTGCATTGCTTAGCATCACCTAGAAAGAACATAGAAGGAATCCAACTAGTATTCAGAAACGTCCAGTTTCACTGTTCACTGAGACGTCATAAAAGTAATTTAGCGACAACCTGCATCTCTTAGCGTCACCTAGAATGAACCTAGAGGAAACCATATTAGTCTTCAGAATCGTCCAGTTTCACTGTTCACTGGGACGACCTAGAAGCAATTTAGCGACAACCTGCATCTCTGAGCATCACCTAGAAAGAACATAGAAGGAATCTGACTAGTCTTCAGAAATGTCCAGTTTCACGGTTCACTGAGACGTCATAAAAGCAATTTAGCGACAACCTGCATCTCTTAGCGTCATCTAGAATGAACCTAGAGGAAACCATATTAGTCTTCAGAATCGTCCAGTTTCACTGTTCACTGGGACGACCTAGAAGCAATTTAGCGACAACCTGCATCTCTTAGCGTCACCTAGAATGAACCTAGAGGAAACCATATTAGTCTTCAGAATCGTCCAGTTTCACTGTTCACTGGGACGACCTAGAAGCAATTTAGTGACAACCTGCATCTCTTAGCGTCACCTAGAATGAACCTAGAGGAAACCATATTAGTCTTCAGAAATGTCCAGTTTCACGGTTCACTGAGACGTCATAAAAGCAATTTAGCGACAACCTGCATCTCTTAGCGTCATCTAGAATGAACCTAGAGGAAACCATATTAGTCTTCAGAATCGTCCAGTTTTACTGTTCACTGGGACGACCTAGAAGCAATTTAGCGACAACCTGCATCTCTTAGCGTCACCTAGAAAGAACATAGAAGGAATCAGATTCTTCAGAATCGTCAAGTTTCTCTGTTCACTGAGACGACCTAGAAGCAACATAGAGACAACCTGCATCTCTTAACTGACCAACTTATATACGAAGTGTCTTTGACGGGAAGAGTACCAGAATCTTGGAAGAGCGCCAACATCATTTTAATCCATAAGAAAGGAGATGCTAAGGACTTCAATTATTAGTGGCCGATTAGCTTACTGTCAGTTAATCTATAATATATACACAAATACAATAGCTAATAGAATTAAGGCGACATTAGAGTTCAATCAACCAAAGGACCAAGCAGAACAGGCTACTCAATAGTAGACCATATTCATACTATCAATTAGGTAATGGAGAAATGTGCGGAATACAACCAGCTCCTATACGTAGCCTTCATAGCACGTAGCAGGCGTTTGACACAGTCGAGACATCAGCTCCTATACGTAGCCTATACGTAGCAGGCGTTTGACACAGTCGAGACATCAGCAGTAACGCAGGCACTGCGGAATTAGGGCATCGAAGAACCGTACATAAGCATACTGGAAGAAATCTACAGTGGATCCTCAGCCACCATAGTTCCCCATAAAAAAAACGATAGAATCTCGATAAAGAAGGGTGTAACGCAGAGAAACGTACATGATCTCTCCAATGCCATTCACTGCGTGTTTACAGGTTTTTCAGGACCCAAGATAGGGAAAAGTTAGGGATAATATTTAAAGGGAGAGTATTTTAGTAACTTGCAATATTCGCTGATGACATTGCCTTAATGAGTAACCCAGGGAACGAATTACAGCTCATGATTACTGAACTGGACACGGAAAGCAGAAGACTAGGTCTGAAAATTAATATGCACCAAATAAAGTAATGTGCAACACTTTCGGCAGAAAACAGCACTTTGAGATAGGAAGACAGACGCTGGAAGTTGTAACGGAATATGTCTATTTAGTACAGGTAGTAATCGCGAAGCCAATCCATGAAAGTGAAATAACTAGAAGAATAAAGATGTGGTGGATCACGCTTGGCAACTCAAATCATGAATAGTAATCTGTCACTAACCCTCAAGAGGAACAGCTGCATCTGCCGGTGCTTACCAATGGGGCAGAAACCTGCGGGCTCAAAGAGGGTTCAACTTCAACTGAGAATGGTGCAGTGAGCGATGGAAAGGAAAATGATAGGTGTAACCTTAAGAGACCAACTGGAGTAATACTGCTAGACAAGCTAGTTAGTATGAATGCATAATAACTTATCTTTAGCGCACACTGGCACAGAGACAAAGAGAGAACGACACCAGCACTACTGTCAACTGAAGGCTTTATTGAGAAAAGGGTAATGTATATAATAATGCTATCACCCGCTGCCCATGCGCACCGCCGTAGTTTCAATCTCAGGCGCTATCATGCCACATCTGTTGTGCTCATTATGCCCTTCAGCAGCGACACTTCTTCCGAGATAGTCACTGATGGGTGGCTGATACAAGATGATTGCTTAATGTTAATGTGAAATGCCTCCGCGATCTCTCGTGCGGTGCGATCATATGGTGTCTAAACGAAATGACTGTATTTGAAATGCGTGCCTCGCACCTATATTTTTTTCTCTGTGAACAACTAAAGGCTGTCTAAAGGGCCCGCGAATGGGAGGAGGACGATGGTCTTCTGGCTCCAACGTGGACGTGCGCCTCAACTACGACTGTAGTTCCTTTTGACCCAAATAAAATTTACCGACCGATTGACCGACTTGTGAGGGAACGCGATTCTCTACGTAATGCGCTGAACAAACTCGACAACAAACATTTTTCCGGAGAGAGAAATGTTCCTAGATCGCAGCTCTGTGCGACGCAGGCTTACAAAGCGACGCGAGCACTGTCCCTTTCTTGAAAATCGACTGAGTCAAAGCGTGTGATGAACAGGCGCACATGTTCACTGATGGTGCTTTCTTTCCTCTTGTTTCTTTTAATCCCTTCCAGAGTCTGGCTCCTGCCTTCCGCGCGTCTGGTCCCTGCATTCCCTTCCTCCTCGTTAACATATAGTAGTATGCCAAATTCATTCATAGTGGCGCAGTTGTTGAGTGAACCAAAAGGCTGCCTGCACACACAGCAGGGATGTGCATTCTCTTTTCAGATCATGGGAGCTGTCATCACGTACACTGTCGTGTTGGTCCAAACGAATGAAAGCTACCTCCGGGGTTCCCTGGAGCACTGCACTAACCACTCTGCCGCGTAAGCATTCGCGATCTTTTCAAACAACATTGTGTGCTGCTCTTCAAATACGATTGTTGAATTAGCACAAATCTTACGATGACTGGATGCATTGTTAATTTTATGAAATATTTTTGTTATTATTAACGTGCACTGTAGAGTGTTTCTAAATGAGTTTACCTCCAATTTTCACTGTAACCCGTTTACTCAATGCTTTCGGGCCTGTATGGTAATTTTAAATGAATAAATAAATATGAACAAAACAATTAAAAGGCCTGGTACACTTTTTCGACAGCTTATTTAGCATAGGAGTACGTGTAATGAATACCAAGACGAATGCAACAAGCACGATGCATGGTGCTCTATATAAAGTCAAGCGATGGATGACTCACGTGTCCTCACAGTTTCAAACCAAGCAGACGATAACGAGAAGCGTTCCCTTTCGCATTTCACTCTCCCGCTAATGTCAAACACAATTTCCAATCATTGCATGTGTCTTGTGAAACCGAAAATGTCCCCTCTTGGTGGCCTTCATGCAGTACCGCTCTTAATTTTGACGGCATCGTTACCATGACTACTGAGAACCATGTGCGTCGGGTAGCAGACACTTAGGCGCGGACACTTGTCGACTTGCATGCAGGAACCGTTCTGCAGCAACGCCGGTGTGTCAAACTTTCAGCTCGCTAAAAATGCTGCATGCGTTTCCAGCTTTAGTTGCTGGTGTGGCAATTATGGAATTATAAATGGAAATATGTCATATACTGAAAATACATTAAATATGTGTTGTTCTGAGAACACCTCATTTAGAAACGGAATTTCTTTCTTTATGAAAAATCATAAACATGTTTTTTATTGCTTTTAGCGTTCCCGCAACAAAAATAGCCGATGTGTGTCGCCTTAGTCTGAAATCGAGGTAGTTTATCCCGTGAAATAAACTTACAAGAGCTTCGATTTCGGCGTTGCTACTTGTGCAGCAGTATCAGTGCATTCCACAGCACCCGCGGAACCGATAAGAACACACTCCTAATGACATACTTTAGCCACGAAAAATCACGAACACAGAGTAAAGAAACACACAACAACAAGCGGCACTTTCAACTAAGGTAGACTGAGCACAATCCCAGAATTAAATATACAACACACAGATGTGTGCAGTCGTCGCACAGCCTTACGCTATCCAGCTATCGAACAATCTCCTCTCCGATACGTACAACGTCACCGACGTGTTGCTGATACACCGTCATTCTTCCTTTTTACTGTAGTAAGCTTCCATCAACTTGATCTTAATCTCTTTAAAACGTGCTTCACGCTTACAGGTTTTTCAATGCATAGACAGATGCACCTGGGTATGCATTATCTGCCAATGATTTGCAAGGCATTGCAAAGGAATCAATTTTATTCAAATACAGCCATACCTTCGTAAATCGAAAACTCCGAGTTTTACAAAGGTTATACCCTGTTGAGTTGTTGCATCCAGCCGTTCCTGGCACCGAAGACTCGGAAAGACGGTGTCGTGGCAGCTTGAAGAAATTAAAGGAAACTTGAGGTTTATTTACAATATTTACTGAGGAAGCACTTTATAACGTGGAGCATGAAAAGGGAATCACCGCTCGCCACACGCAATTAGCGAAGCCATTGGTCATCTGCAGTGATGCTTCTCTCGTCAAGAACGGTAACGTAGCCGGGGCCCTGTTTCAGTAGTTTTTGTCGAACCCCTTCCCGCGCCGCTTCACCTTGGTAGGGTCGAGAAGATAATACCCATGTTTGGATGGTCATCAGCAGGCCCGCGCTCTCCGGCATCTTTTTCGCAGAAAAATGGGACACCGTTCCTCCTTGGCTCTCACACAACAACACTCGCACGTTTCATCGGAAAAGCCTTAGGAATCGATTTCATTCAAATAAAACCATACCTTCGCAAATCGAAAATTCTGAGTTTTCATCAAAAAAAGCCCTAGGAATTGATTTCATTCAAGTACAACCATACCTTCGAAAACGAAAATTCCGAGTTTTACAAAGGCTATACACAATTACTGTTTTCATTGAAAAGACCTTAGGAATCAATTTCATTCGAATACAACCATACCTGCTGAAATAGAAAATTCTGAGTTTTACAAAGGCTATAAACTTACCTTTCTTATCAGAAAAGTTCATGGAATCGATTCTTTTTCATACAACCATACGTTCGGAAATTGAAAATTCCGAGTTTTACAAAGGCTTTAAACTTACCTTTCCGATTGGAAAAGCCCTAGGAATCAATTTCATTCAAATACAACCGTACCTTTGGAATTAAAAAATTCTGAGTTTTACAAAGGCTACATTACCAGTTTTCATTGGAAAAGTTCTAGGAATCGATTTATTCCAAATACAACCATACCTTCGGAAATCGAAAACTTTGAGTTTTACAAAGGCTGTATAACCGTTTTCATCAGAAAAGCCCCAGGAGTCTTTTTTACTCAAATGCAACGATAGCTTCGGAAATAGAAAATTCTGAGTTTTACAAAAAGTATATTACCATTTTTACTGGAAAAGCTCTAGGAATCGATTTCTTTCAAATTCAACCATATCTTTGGAAATCGAAAATTTCGTATTTGACAAAGGCTATAGCCCGATTACAATTGGCATTTACGATTTCTATGCCAAATTGAAAACAAATCATATCCGTCAAAGTTATAAATCTGCAGTTCTGTGATTACTTTGAAATCGTAAAACTAATGATTTCTGACAGCTCTACATTTGCCTTTTTTTTAAACATGCATCATTTAATATTGACGAATGGGCTACATAATTTACAGACCAACTTTTAAACCATCTTGTCAAGCCGTGGCAGTAGGTTAGTCGGTAAGGTAGTCGGCTCTAAACCGGAAAGGTTGCTGGTTAAAATCCCGGTGCCATTGGTGTTGAAGAAACAAGGCGATGTTGTTAAGGGCATTAATACACCGAAGTTTATTGTTCATTTTTATAATTGATTTGCAGTAGAGTTTTAAACAATGCATCCTGTGTTGTGGCGGTAGCCGAGTGCGTAAGGGATTCAGTCCTTAACCAAAAGGTTGATGGTTCGAATCGGAGAACGGCGAGTGCTGGAACACCAAGATGTCATCCAGATACCCAAGTGCCAAAACTGAAATGCACGTACTGTGACATACTAGACATATAGTACTGAGGGCCACACTGCGGTTGAGACTTATAGGCCTGAAATCGCTACCTTCAATTGAAGTAATGCTATTTTTTGTTGAAAAAAGTATACATGTCATGACTTTCATGTTATGACTAGTAACTTATGCTCATGTTATGCGTCATGTTATGCAGTCATGTCATGCAGTCATGTTATGCCATACCAATTTTGATATCAATACCGTTATCGAAACGGGCAGGAGAGCTAAAAGCCGTAGGCAGCTAGAATTTTTTTTTTTTTTTCAAAAAAAAGTGGGGGGGGGGGGGGGCATTTTGTACGGCGGCTCTGGACCCGAAGGTGCGGGGTACCCATAAGTTGCCATGTAGCGCAAGCTCTTCTGCTGTGGCATAAGGGAGCATGAAAACCGGTCTCAATATGGTGCGTGATGCTCCCTGTTGGTTGAGCAAAATTGAAGGAAGAGAAACTTTTTACGACGGAACGCATTTATTTACACCAGCACCTCTGTTTACACCATGAAAAATGATTACGAGAGGTACAGCTCAGAGCCAAAAAAACAGGTCACCGTGCTGCTCGCTACCTCGCTCGCTGGATTTCGTGCTGACCGGTTGTGCCACGGCGATCTACGACGACAACGCAGCTCTGGCCGACTGGGCTCGCCCTACGCCATCTCCTGACGGAGCTCTCGCCGAGTGATGCCTCGTCCTCGGACTCCTGCGACCGTGTCCATCTTTCCTATCTTCTCCTTACTTCCGTCGTTCGCTGTCCCTGCACCTCACTTTCTCCTTCATCTCTCTCTCTCTATCTCTTTACATTTTAATCCTATCCTTTTAATCCCTCCTTTACCCCCACCCCTCGTGAGGTACTGTTGAAGGTGTCCTCCCCCTGAGAGACAGCCCACTCTTCTCTTCTTTTCATTTCAAATCACCTCCCCCTGCTCGCTAGCCAGTTTTTGTTTTGTTTTCACGCACCCACATTGGGGGATTGGGCAAGAATGCGACGTTTAGTCTTCCTGGCCAGTCCTGCCTCATCCTCTTCATGTGTCCACCGATAGGATGTTTCATTTCTTTGTTCGCAGGCGATTCCCACTGGGCGAGTCGGTAGGAAAGTTGACGGAGATACAGTCTAATTAGCATGACATGCGTCAGCTGAAGTTTGTTAGAGCGCCGACCATCGCTTGTGATGGCGGAAATGGCGTATGTTACAGTATGTGCCGTCACTGAGGAGGTCAAGAATTACAAATGGTTCGGAGTAGGGGGTCAAAAACTTTTGGCGCAAATCACGTTTGTGGACAGGCGTCTACAATCACCCGAGTTCACCTTTTCTGTAACAAACTGAGCGACTGGTGGCCTTCGTAGTGGGCCGTGAAGCGCTGATGAGATGCGATGGTTAGGAGTTGTGTAATGCCGTCACAGGCTTCTTCAGCACAGCATAGTCACTCGGCAACTGATGTTCCGATATCCATCATAAAAGGCAATATGGTGCTGAGATAACTTCGAAGGAGAGCAGGCGTAGAGCAGCAAAAAGGGCAAGTATCCTGCCATCTCGTGTTTTGTAGTGTTCTATGCATATGTGATGTGTGACGCGGCTTCGGCTGGGTACGAAGAGTCATGAAAGTACCACCCGTTCAAGTCTGTCTTCTTGCAAAACTATCAGGTGCGCGACTCAAAGCACAAAAAGGCGTTCTCTGATCACCATGTTTTGTTTTTGTTGGGCTGTGATAGATACAGGAGCAGCCCAGTCGAGAGCAGAACTGGAACTCTTTATAGGCACCGTTCAGTTAAGTTTTCCAGTCTGACTACAGCGCCAGAATACATAGCCTAGCGGATAAAAAAAGAAACCTTAAGATGGCCTCGGTCAAAATGGAATGTGCCGCAAGCGTTTCGCGCCCTGCATCTGTCGGGGGATTGTGCCCGGGATACATTGGGGACGCGAGCATGCGTCACTTTTCTGCCTGCTTTTAACGGCGGATATAAGAAAGTTTGAGACGGGGCAGTGTGAGCAACGCAGCTCCCTCTGGTCAGTGTGCAGTGCTTATTCTCCGAATACAGATTTGAAGGCGCGACCAGGCCCGGGGCATGTTGAGAGCTTTGCAGCCGCGCCGTTAGGCGTCCCCACCTATCAAAACAACGACAGCGCACTGCAGGCAAACAAAACTCCCTCTAAACTTTTCTTCTTTGACGATTTTATTTGTAAAACTTGAGAATGATACGCATAAAAATACTGCTTCTCGTTTAATTTAAACATTTGTAAGCATAAATAGTGCGAATGCGTAGAAGATTGGAAAGTGACTCACTTCGGCTGGTAGCGCGAACCCGAAAGCAAACAGTCGGGCCGCACTGCAAGGCCCGCGAATACGTTGATATTGATATCCGTTGAAATTGCAAGGCCCCCAGATGTATTGATACGTTGAACTAGGTGTTCTGAAGTCTCCAGCTACACAAGTGCAGGGACGTGAGCGGTATACCTTCACTTACTGCAGCGAAGGTTTCGTTGAGTGTGATGGATATATTAGCAATCGCTGGACAGCTTCTGTGCTCCGGGCGTCTGCGCTGGGGCTATGCGTAGACCTTGTTTGCACATGAACGCTGATGCATGCACATTGTGCACTGCTGTGCATGCTAAAACGTTACTTACGTGGCCTTTATTTTATATAAACATCGATTGATTTGCCATAGAACAACTTATTGGCACAAGTTTATGCGATCAGCGTTGTCGTTTCGCTCGGCCTGTATGCAACATCACTCACTTACTAAAGTAAGTAGGCAAGATACTTGTGAGCTTCTAGTAAGTAGTTTACTGCGTTGTACTCTGTGGAAACGAGAGAAATTGAGACAGTGAGATGCTCCAACGAGCGGGGTACAGCCATGATGCATACGACGATGGTGTCGTCTGCTATGCGAACCATGGAGGAAGGAAAAAAGTTCCTTCCTTCATGATGCGGACAGCCAGCCACCATATCAAAACGCCCTGGTGCGTTTAAACCTATTTATACAAACAATATTCTTAGTTATTATTTGTTCAAGAAAGTTATTTGAGTCCAGAAAGCAAGATGTTTTTAGTTGTTAATAAAATAATAATTTTCTAATCTTTGTACAACTGGCGCCAGAATCCAAACGACGCTATCATAGCGTCCAATTTTCGTCCTCAGTGGCTCCATGAACATGTCTCTCCCTTGATGTGACGTAGGTAGCGCTAGTCTGTTTTTAGTTGGTTAGTTTGAGGGTGACGCATAGATGACATCACTAGAAGATAAGCTGGCACGCATATATAACATATTATGTTGTTGTGCCGTAATAGACGCGTCTTGTGTTCTATCGTGAGCAATATGAGCCTGAACACACGAGTGCGTGGCGAATAACCTCGAACTCTACACCTGCTGATTCGTAACGTACGCTTTCATAATCAAAGTAGAAAGGGTGGCGCACTTTCCCTTGCTGTTGACACTCCCGCCTCAATATTGTTGCTGCAAAGTGCAGCTTATAGCATGTCTGTGGCTGCTAGTGGTGACCTGACCTGACATCAACATGCACAGCCACAACCAAACAGGCTGTGCAGCTACAAAGACATGGAGGAAGGATGTACAAAGGTATCGGCTGTGACGCAGCCTGTCGTGATGCACAGGGCATGCTTCGCTGAACATTTTGATGTGCATATCTCTCTTTTGTTTTTGAGGCATTTTATTTTAGTGTCATCATAGCAGGCGGTCTATCGCACGCGATCAGCTGCCATTTCACAGCAACAATCATGTGGGAGTGCGAACAGTCAGTGGAAGAGCCTGGGCTCCTGGGCGTTTTCCTCTACTGTTTCGGCAGCGCCATCCACGCATCGCGTTATCTTGGTTTTGAGGCCATTCGCCACACGCTCGCGTTTTCGAGCTCATATCGCTCGCGATAGTACATCCACCGCCTCCTAGATTTCTCTTGCCTGCCGGATGAGCGCGAAACGCCCGTCATCTATGGCGGCGCTACCTACGTAGGGGTAAGGGTCATTGTACTTGGCATTTGAAATAGGCAATATTGGCGTTTGCTACTAATTTCAGAGGCTGCTAAATGAGTGAAAAACGGCTGTCATTTATAACCGCGTCATTTACATAGGGTTAATTATAATTACGGTTACACCTTTTAAAATTTTTTTACGTTATTTTTCTCGCATATAAGTTTTAAAAACGCAAAAACTTATTTGAAGACAGCCCTACTTAGGTAGCGCCACCACCATAGTTCCGACGACCGCCGCTTTTCAAGTGACCGCCGATAATCCGGCAGGCAAGGGAAATCTAAGAGGTTATGGTACATCCTAAAAGATGTATATAAAAAATGCGGCATCGCTATTGGCTGAAAGTGGTCACGTGGTCTGAACATAATTTTGGTTTTTCGTTTATTTTTACATAGCCTCCTAGATTTCCCTCACCTGTCAGATTATCGGCAGTCACTTGGTAAGCGGCCGTCATCGGAACTATGGTGGTGGTGCCACCTAAGTAGGGATGTTATCAAAAAGTTTTTACGTTTTTGAAACTTATATGCAATAAAAATTACGAAAAAAATTTAAAAAGGCGTAAACTTAGTTATAATTACTCTACGTAAGTTACGCCGTTATTCAACAAGCAACTCCTTCAATACAAGGCATAGCCTCTGAAATTAGTAGCAAATGCCAAAATTGCCTATCTTAAAGGCCAAGTGCAAAGACCCTTACTCCTACGTAGGCAGCGCCACCATAGATGACCGGCATTTCGCGTTCATCCAGCAGGCAAGGGAAATCTAGGAGGCTATGATTTTTATTTCTCTCTAAGCAAGACGGCGGCGCGCATAGATGCTAGATCATCAATGCGCCAGTGAAGCTTGTTGAAGCCGTACCACAGAACACCTGCCAGCTTGCCGTACGCCGTAGACATTACGCTGAAACGTGTAGACTTTTCGCCAACATTGCCGATGAAACAGATTGTGTTCTTACGCAGCTCGTGTGCTCAGATTTTTTTTTTATTATGAGTTCGTTTGGGCTGCTGGCCAGCGAAGAAGGTGCGCCGCTTGAACCAACGTTTCTAGAACTAGCTAGAACCAGGTTCTAGAAATCTTGGCTTGTACTACTTCGGATGTCAGTTGTTTCAAGGTAAGTGGGTTGTTTCACCTGTGGAATTTGCGCTGCGGTCTTCTGTTCCGCGCTCAAGCTATGACGAGGTCAATTGTCGTTTTGTGACGGGGTGCTGTTTCTCGCTACACCGCGTGTTCCCCCAAGGGTCCTTTGCCATCTTATTTATCTTTATATGACGCGACGCACTGCCTTCCAGCTAGCGCTCTGTTAATGCGCCCAGTGCTCATGAAACTCGCGTAATAGCCATCGTGAGGGCGCAACTAAACACGACACACAGGAGGAGACAGACGAGGACAGTTGTATGTAGTACAGTAGAGTGGTTGGAGCCTAGACGTTCCCAGCATTTAAGAAGGACACGGTAATGCGCATAGCGTGGGCCTTACCACATTAAAAAGTAGATAGTGCAGCTGTCCCTTCCAGGCTGATGGGAAACTAACACCAAGAAATGTTTGGGGCTATTTTGAAAGAAAAAAAAAATATGAAGCAGGAAACGGTACATGCCATCTTAATGCATGTCTCTGTCATGTTGAATTAGATAAGCATTGCAAGCAGTATAGTCCACTGTTGCCCATGCGATCAGAATATTGAAAAAAAAGTGTATTCTGAAACACAACCTGGCTACTGAATTTGAAAACATAATTGCACAGCACAGACACGTGGTATTTGCAGACACAGTTATTGGAAATATTTTACGCATTCTTTATTACTATCACTGAACATGTATTCAACAAAACTGTTGTTGGTACAAATATTGACCAATGAACTGCAAAAAATACGCTTTCCAACAAAGAAAAGCTAGCAAGAAGAGTAGTGAAATAGTACACAGTATGGAAAGAAAGCAAAAAAAGACAGGCATGTTCACTTGTTCAAAAAAATGCACATCTGAAAATGAAATAATTTGTGAGTCACTGCACATGTCTGTCTCTTTATGTCTCTATCTTTGTTGAGTTGAGTTGTTTAACATGTTTAACAAAATAAATATATCCATGTACACTTGTATATAATGTCACAAAAAGTGAAATTAACCCGCAGCTTCTCAGTTTTCTGCTGACAGCCCTAGATTTCTGTATAATCTTGATATCAGACTTCTTGACATTTCCTTGCGACACAAATTTCGTTTGCTAATCAGTATGGCTTTCCCTTATGCTTCCAGATGCATAAATGTTTCATGCATATTATGTTTACTATCAGAAAGAACTAGCCATGTGATGAGTTAATAAAGAACTGGTATATTGTAAATTCTAACAATATACAACATGAAAGACTAGGCTTTGCATTTTGTTTAAACAAGTTTCGTTTAAGGGGACACTAAAGTCAAATAACAATTTACGTCAGAGTGAAATCTCAATGTATTACAACATCTCAAACGACAATATTATCAACAGCAGTGCCCTACTTACTAAGAAATTAAGGTAAGTGCGCATGAATACATGCATGCGCCACCGTAGGACATTCTCAAAATTATACCAATCATGTCAGACAAACCGCCTAAAATTAATCATTAGTAATCGATCTAGCAGCACTAAATAAAGAATCTTTTTTACATCAAAAAGTTCAATAAGATGCATCTTGTTCATTTCTGTTTGATCCGTGGAAGAAATAACCGCCGGACGTTACCATGGTGAGTGCTGCGAGTGGTTCAAAAATTCAGTTTTCGCGGGTGACATAGGATGGACATCGTTCGAGTGCAGGGAAGCCAGCCGCAAGATAGAATTTGAGGAGAGATTGAGAAAAATGGGAGAGATGCGTTGGGGTTATAAAAGTTTTTAGCTACTTGTACATGAAGAATGTTGATCCTAAATGGAGGAAGCGAACTCAAAAATTGTCAAACAAGTATTTAGACAACAGCAGAATACCAAGCCAAAAGGAAAAATCGGTTAAGAAGAAGGTGAAATGAAGAGAGAGGGGCATGTGGAAAATTGGAATGCTTACGAAATCATCACTGGGAGGGGGGCCTACCGAACTTTCAAGCAGAAAAAATCTACGATAATTTTTGGGGCAGTTCTGTACTGTTCGAGGCCAGAGCGGGAGTATTGCGTATCATGACATACTGAGCTAAATATGAAGGCACAGACATGTTATGTAGTGCAAGTGAAGAGGTGGAGGAAATGGCTGAACATTCAGATAACGTTCAGTAAAGGGCTCCACCCTATAGTGCATGATGATTGCGCGGAACGTTTTCAAAGCATTTGGGGTATAGGGACAATGATAGCAAAATAGACTTTAAATGGGTAGAAATAGCCAGAAGGAGGTCAACAGATTGGTGGTTACAATCAAGGTGCGAGTGAAATTCAATCCTGCAACACATAGTGATAGTACTTAACTTTATGGCTAAGTGGCTTCAAGTCCTGCGTGGTCGATTCTGCAATTTGACTGTCTTGTTGGAGTTGCTTGAATCAAGGTAGATACTAGAAGCCTTTGATCATGATCCACTGTTTGCGTCTAGCTCAATGAGTCTTGTGCATGCGACAGTGTATCTGTTGCTGTCATTTGCTTGCCTGGTACATAGGTGATAGTGATGTCGTATAGCTGTAGTCAAAGAAGTCGCTGGATTCTTGGTGACAGTTTGTTAAAGTCCTTATTTTGAATACCAATCAGTGGCTTCTGATCCGTTAGCACTGTGATGTGCTGCGCAAGGTTTTTATTTTTGTTTATTTTTTAATTTGTGCAACAATACAAGATTGTCATGGTGCTGGCGGCACAAGGTGACGTAATAAACATCACCTGACTATGCCTCTAGCATCATATAGGCACTAACTGCACAGAATAATCACGTGCGTATGGCAAATAATTAACAAAAAGTACTAGCACGCATAAATGACGTGTAGACAGTAGTAAAATTGCATAAAAACAGAAATTCGCCTGTAGTGAAATCTCTCACATGCGAACACAACAGCCAGAAGCTCTTTTTCTATTTGTGCGTGTCTCTGCTGCGTGTCTGTGAGAGCTGCTGGTGCGTAAGCTACAGGCCTTTCTTCTTGCAGTAGCACTGAAGCCATTCCATAGGAGCTGGCATTGGCTTTGATGGATCGAAATAGCAAAGCACTGGTGCTATCATTAGTTTCGATTCGATGAGCTATATGGTGCCGGTATGTTTATTTATCAGCTACTGCCGGCTGTCTTTTGGGAGCCATGGCAGGAGTGGGTACATCACATTGCATCGTTTCAGTCGACAGCCGAAATAAAAAAAAGAAAGAAAAACAGAACAAATGCACATATGTATAATGATAACAACACATGCAGCCGAATGTGAACTCAAGACGCGAACATAAAAAACAAGTCCAACAGCATTTGCAATAATACACTGAGGTATGACACAGGAGTAATAACACATACAGGATCGAGTGATTGAACACCCGAAAGACGCATATAACATTTCAGAACATGAGTGAAACGGCCAACGAACTAAATAAGCATGTGAACCGAAAGACAGCTTACATCAACAGTAGAATACCGCGAAATAAATGGTTACCCGCAAACATTTGAAGCTGAAAAAGAGAAAGAATCACAAGAACTGCGCATAACATCACAGATAATCTTGCACGGCATTTGTGAACGCATGAACTGATGATAGGCCGACTATGTCACATGGAAGCTCGTTCCATTCCGCTATCGTTCGAGGAAAAAACGAAAATTGATACACCTTCGTCTTAATGTTGCTGCGTCCAGTGCCAGTGAACATTCGTCTTTAGTAGTTGACGATTCTGAGAAGTTGGGAATAAATTTAGTCAGGTAAGTTGCCATTTCCAAAAATATTTGCAGCTTTTGCTTGTTACATGGCAGTGTTATAGCTTTGATGGCTTTCACTTTATCCGGATCTGGAGCGATCTCTTGAGGTGAGAGTTGGTGACCCAGGTGCGTGATTGTTGTCAAACCCAGCTGGAGCTTGACCTTGTTGAGGTTTAGGTGGTTGATGCGTCCTACTGTGAGCACATTCCTGAGGTCTTTTTATGCTCTTCAAGGTTTTGTGATGCGACCAGAACGTCATCAAAGTAGGGCTTGATGGTAAGTTGCCGTTCGAAGATGCTGTAAATAGCTTGTTGGAAGAGCTCGGGAGCTGTTGCGAGGCCAAATGAAACACGAAGAAATCTGTATCTTCCACAGGGCATCGTGAAAGTACACAAACGTGAACTCGCTTCATCCAAGACCAGTTGGTAGAACGCACTTTTTGCGTGAAGTACAGAAAGTGCTTTTCGACCGCTCAAGTTTGTGAAAAGTTGCTCTACCACAGGCACGTGGTAATTTTGTCTTTTGATGGCCTTATTTAAGTTTCGGGGATGTAAGCACAGTCGGACGCTGCAGTCTTTTCGTGATAACAATCAGATGAACCCGCTCGGAAGGCTCTGTTATTTCAGTGATGATTCCATGTTGTTGCATTCGTTGCAGTTCTCCTTTGACTTCATGCTCTAATGTGCTTGGTATTTGGCGTGGAGCTGACACCGTGGATGTTATTTCTTTCAGTTGTATGAAATAAACTCCACATAGTTTTATGATGCCCTCAAATACATCCGGAAAGTTGTTGAGCAGTCGTCGTTGCTTTGCTGCACACGTAGCTACAGTTGTTTGCTGCAGTTGCCTTCTTGTTTCAGGGTCTTGCATGCGTTGGCGTCTAAAATTGGCTTCAGCAGTTGGCTGACGATGAGAAATTTTAGGATGCACATTTATTCTTTGCATTACTCTTGTCTACGCTGCCAATGTCAGCCTTTTCTAAATGCTCTCGCATTTTACAGATGTCTCTTCGTGTTGCTCCTGGGTAGATATAAACTGTCAATCACCTGTGGTACATACCCGCCCAGGGTATAAGAGTATATGCCCTGGGTGTACGTGATGGGATTGTCACATTCTTCATGTCATTACTAGAGAGCCCCACCGTGTTGGTCTAATGGCTGAGGTGCTCGGCCGCTGACCCGCAGGTTGCGAGATCAAATCCCAGCTGCGGCGGCTGCATTTTTGATGGAGGCAGGAATGTTGTAGGCCCGTGTGCTCAGATTTGGGTGCACGTTGTGATGAGTGAATAAAACGATGACAACGACGGAAGTGCGGGGCAAGGCGCGTGGGATTTTGAGCCAACTGTGCGCGTGCGGTCAGCCAATCAGCTGGTGACCTGTGGTGGCCCATCGAGGTGGCGTACCACGATTGGGCCACGTGTGACCATTACGTGGCGGTAAGCTTTGTGGCTGGGGACGAGCCGAAGCAGCGGCAGACGGGAGACAGCGGGCCGAAGCGTCGGACGCAGGCGATCCAGGTTCCGGCCAGGGAACGTGGCTGTCCACGCTACTGCCGTCCAACTACCAGCTGGAGTGACGTTGCCGGCACGAGTACTGCATCTCGGGTCGCGGCCTGGCCTGCTGTTCTCTTCCTTGCCGAAGACATCGCGGGTCTCGACGAGGCGTCTCCGTGGTCAGACATTCGGCACAGCGACATACGTGGCCTGGCTAATGGTCACGGTTGCGCCAAGCATCGCGTCTCGACGCAAGCTGTTCGCTGGACGGGCTGGCCATTTACACGCATGGAGCATCGCGTCTCCGATGTGGGTTGACTGCTCCGTAGTCGCACCCACGCCGTCAAACGCCGTCGTCACCAGAGCATCGCACATCGGCAAGTGAGCGCATTCTACAGCGCCTTTCCACCGCCTCTTGCCCTGCACCACATCGGCATCTGTCGTACCACCGATCTGGCCCTCAGTTGGTGCAGAAAGGAGCTCGAGGGTTGAGGCCACGAAGGCAGACGAAGCGGTGCGCCGCTGGAGAGGACGAGTTCCTGGCAGCGTTCCTGAGCCGGACGTGGGACCCGCACGTGTCGGCCAGGTCGAGCTCCGGTGTGTCTGTTCGAGGTCGAGTCCGTCGGCCTGTACAAGGTCCAAGGACGGGGCCTGCTGAACGGCTCCTGCCTGGGTGCAGTGGCCGGGAGCAGGTTCGTGGGCGAGGCATACCGGGTGTGGTCCTCGTGAGCCGTGGCCTGATCCTGGACCTCAGGAGTTGCGACCCTGACTGCTGGGTTGGCCGCGACGTCCGACTCAACGGCACTGCACACGGTAGCGCATCCATGTGCCGTCAGCCGTTCCAGCCGTGCCACCTTTGCCCTCGCGCACGTCGACGACCGCATCATGTCGGGACGACGGGGACCCAAACTGTGAGACAGCGGTTTCTTCTTACGAACCGACAACTATACGCGCTGGACACTGAGTTAGCGTAGCCGTGAACTCTGCGCATATTAATGGCGGTCTGACTCTCGTGCATGTTGCGTGATGCTTGGCGTATAGGGTTGGATATATAGTTTTATTTTCTCCTGTCACTTCCTTCTCTAGTGTACAATATAAAGCTTCCTTTGTTCGCTTAAATTGTTCATGGTAATCCTTTCTCGTCCGCTATAAACAAACATAGTGACGAACGTCCTTAACCATTACACACGTTAAAGAACCCCAAATGGTAAAAATTTTCGGAGCCCTCCACTACGGCGTCTCTCATGATCATATGGTGGTTTTGGGACGTTAACCCCCACATATCAATCTATCAGTCGTGACCAGAGAGTCATTTTTGTCAAGCCATCTTATACCTGTGTCACACGGGCGTGCAAAAAGTCTTTTAAGTAAGCGGTCTTTTACGAAGCTGAAAGACTTTTAACAAAGAGGTATTTGCGGCGCAGACACACGGCAGCAACGATCTCCTTTTAGAGTTTTCGTTCGAAGACGCTAGCGAAAGCGTGGCGCTAGCAGTTAAAAGAGAAGCAATGAAAATTAAACGATGTATCACGATGTACAAATTAAAGACTTGTCGCACTGCTCGTTTCTTCAAATAAATTTAAGAGTAAGAGATGAAGAAACACCAATGTGAAAGTTTTTTTGCACTAGATAAGGAAGCATTCCCATAACTCGCGACGTGCACAAGTGTGGAGTGAATAAAACGATGACAACGACGGAAGTGCGGGGCAAGGCGCGTGGGATTTTGAGCCAACTGTGCGCGTGCGGTCAGCCAATCAGCTGGTGACCTGTGGGGCCCATCGAGGTGGCGTACCACGATTGGGCCACGTGTGACCATTACGTGGCGGGTAAGCTTTGTGGCTGGGGACGAGCCGAAGCAGCGGCAGACGGGAGACAGCGGGCCGAAGCGTCGGACGCAGGCGATCCAGGTTCCGGCCAGGGAACGTGGCTGTCCACGCTACTGCCGTCCAACTACCAGCTGGAGTGACGTTGCCGGCACGAGTACTGCATCTCGGGTCGCGGCCTGGCCTGCTGTTCTCTTCCTTGCCGAAGACATCGCGGGTCTCGACGAGGCGTCTCCGTGGTCAGACATTCGGCACAGCGACATACATGGCCTGGCTAATGGTCACGGTTGCGCCGAGCATCGCGTCTCGACGCAAGCTGTTCGCTGGACGGGCTGGCCATTTACACGCATGGAGCATCGCGTCTCCGATACGGGGTGACTGCTCCGTAGTCGCACCCACGCCGTCAAACGCCGTCGTCACCAGAGCATCGCACATCGGCAAGTGAGCGCATTCTACAGCGCCTTTCCACCGCCTCCTGCCCTGCACCTTATCGGCGTCCGTCGTACCGCCGATCTGGCCCTCAGTTAGTGCGGAAAGGAGCTCGAGGGTAGAGGCCACGAAGGCAGACGAAGCGGTGCGCCGCTCGAGAGGACGAGTTCCTGGCAGCGTTCCTGAGCCGGACGTGGGACCCGTACGTGTCGGCCAGGTCGAGCTCCGGTGTGTCTGTTCGAGGTCGAGTCCGTCGGCCTGTACAAGGTCCAAGGACGGGGCCTGCTGAACGGCTCCTGCCTGGGTGCAGTGGCCGGGAGCAGGTTCGTGGGCGAGGCATACCGGGTGTGGTCCTCGTGAGCCGTGGCCTGATCCTGGACCTCAGGAGTTGCGACCCTGACTGCTGGGTTGGCCACGACGTCCGACTCAACGGCACTGCACACGGTAGCGCATCCGTGTGCCGTCAGCCATTCCAGCCGTGCCACCTTTGTCCTCGCGGACGTCGACGACCGCATCATGTCGGGACGACGGGGACCCAAACTGTGAGACAGCGGTTTCTTCTTACGAACCGAGAACTATACGCACTGGACACTGAGTTAGTGTAGCCGCGAACTCTGCGCCTATTAATGGCGGTCTGACTCTCGTGCATGTTGCGTGATGCTTGGCGTATAGGGTTGGATATATAGTTTTATTTTCTCCTGTCACTTCCTTCTCTAGTGTACAATATAAAGCTTCCTTTGTTCGCTTAAATTGTTCATGGTAATCCTTTCTCGTCCGCTATAAACAAACATAGTGACGAACGTCCTTAACCATTACACACGTTAAAGAACCCCAAATGGTAAAAATTTTCGGAGCCCTCCACTACGGCGTCTCTCATGATCATATGGTGGTTTTGGGACGTTAACCCCCACATATCAATCTATCAGTCGTGACCAGAGAGTCATTTTTGTCAAGCCATCTTACCCTCCCATATCAGTTCTGGTTTACCAGAAGTTGAGCATGTGATTACAAGAGCACCCAGACATAGGCGGCTAGATAGATAGATATGTAGATAGACACACTGAAAGTGCCTGCAGTACGCAAAGAAGTGCTTTACGTTTCAAAACTTTATTCCGGGATTGTGTGTTTTTTTTATTTGGGAGGTGCCGGGTTTAGTCCCCAGTGCCAGTACGAGGCTAGTTTTTCTTTTTTACCAATCACATCATACTAAAATATAACAATAAAACAAAGCGAAAACAACTCTAGTGCTTAGATATTTTGCACTTAAACGGACAGGGCCACGGTGCTTGACCATTTATGTTTCATCGCCAATCTAACCATATCCGATTGTCATTTGACTGAGTAGAACGCTGGGCATTCCGAGTATGTTGAGGTGCTGGTCGAAATACAACTGTTTGTGTAACACAAGCGATATACCATGAAGCAACTGCAAATAACGTGCATTGGGTGCTGCATGTCGCTTACTTTTTCTGACGGCAGCTTTTTTTTCTGTTGTTGTTAGAACAGCAAAAACGGCACACTGGTTTCCCATTGACCTTTAGCTGGTTTACATCGCTATAAGAGCAAAAACAAGCCTCATTTTGAACTAAAACATGCTAAAGTTGTTCGAAAACCCGTCAGCAAGCTCCAGAAAAAAGGGAAGTGCTGGTTCTCAGTATGGTCCTCTTCGCTCAACGGAACTGTTCCATCGGCTGAGGAGGACCGCACTGGCAATTGGCGTTTTCCTCCTTCCTGGCTCGTGCGCTTTTTCGTTCTTTTTCTCACATCTTGAATGAGATTTACAGAAACCCCACCTTGTGCTTGCTCATCTCTAAGTTCATCGGTGGTGGACTCACCTGCCGGTCCTGTGTGGCTAGTCTCCTACACTGTTTTCTACTGGTCGCCTTCGCCTGGATGTTCCTCGTGGGGTTCCAGATCTGCACGGTCCCCATGGAGTCCATGGACCGCCACCAGTTACGCCTGTGGTGGTTCTGTAGCCTGGCATAGATAATTCCTGCTGTCATCGTTTCCATCGCAGCCAACATCGATCCGTACTGGTTCAGCACCTCCAGCTACTGCTGGCTGGAGTCGCTAAACTACTTCATCCTCAGCTGCGTCGGGCCTTGCGTGGGTGTTGTCTTTGTAAGTGCTTGTTTATGTTTACAGTACTTTAGAATTGAAAAGCTCCCGAGAAAAGAATGCACTTGGGTGTCTTTGAATCCCTAATTAACATCTTAAATTATTTTTTTTTTTTCAAGTTGTGTACCTGATCTAAGTTAAGGTCTATGCGAACAGCTTCTTTTTGAAGCCTCTGCGTGACATTTAAAAAGAACATGCAACTTATATATGCATTGAAAGTATATTGGTACTAGACACCTTATAAAGTTTGGTTGATGTCTTGGGTCTTAGCAATAAATCAGTATGTGCTGCTGTTTATTTTCTCATGCAATCTTACCATTCATGCAATCTGGTATCCATTCAAAGGAAATCTCTTCCGGGGTAGCTTAAAGGGGTCCTGCAACTCTTTTTGAGCATGGTCAGAAAATGCTGCCGATCGGTATTAAAGGCTCCCGACAACACGCGAGCGAAATATTATAGCGTGGCACGTGGCCTGGAATTCCAATAAATTTATAAAGTCAGCTAAAAATAGCTTTCTTTTCTTTTGACAAATCACACAGTATACCCAAAAATTACCCGTAGCAAGCCTATCTATCAACCATTGGCTGGTTTGAACGCGGCACGCTCACCGCCGTGGGAGGCCGCTACTTGTCTACGCGTACGCGCGCGATCACACTGAAAAAGTTGTGCATTCGAAGAAAAAGAGAAAGAAAAAAGTGCTCGAGGTCACGAGGCTCGCGTGACATTTCTCTGTGGCCCTACCATCCATCCCTCCCTGCTTAACTTCCAGCGCTTTCATCGGGACGAGAGAAGAGAATGCAATTGCAGCACGCGAGAAATCTTTGTAACTTCACTCGCACTGGACGGATTCTTAAAAACTTCGCGGCATTGAATTCATGAGGCAATAAGCTCTTCCAGTGAATTAATTTCATGGTTACTTGAAAAAGTGTTTCAAGGCCCCTTTAAGATGTGTGACAAGGAGGATTGTTGAAACTGGAGACAGTGTAGTGCTATGGATTATCATCAGCTGGCATCTGGATGGCAATTTCTGATAATGTCGAGAAACAGTAACTTTGCAGTATTTGCAAGCAGTCTCGTCTCCATGGTCTGTGTCATCTTCCTGTGCATCTCGGCCCATGTCCTGTGTCAGCAAGGGAGCACCACCACTGCAGTCAAGTGCATGGAAGAAGCCAAGCCTTGTAAAGTTTGATACGTTATTTCTGTCTCGTATTACAATCAATAAATCAATCAGTTTTATTTTCATTTACTATCTGCTGGAACAAAACGAATCTATCTGCAAAGCCATTTGTACATGATCACAAAAAAGTGGTATGCACTGCAGGTCACATTTGTAATGTCATGATGGGTACGTGCAAGCATACAGTACACTCTGATGTAGTTAGATAAACACCATCATCAGCCATTTACTATTGGTAAGACATATTTGTAACGAACATGGATATAGTATATTATCCTGTCTAACAAAGTAAGCATGGAACTTTTGCTGTGACAGCATGTTGTGTATTTATTCTTGTTACCATTATCAAAAGTACCTAATACGTTTTCCTATTGTGTGTTGGAGGGGGGGAGCATTGTAGAATGAACAAATGACAAACATTTTATGCATGGGATATGCAAGAATTTGCTGTGATGGGCTTGCAAAGTGTTTGTTTCATGACACACTGTATTCTGTCATCGGCTACCTCCTCAGCCTAAGCAGCGGTTCATATGTGAACACAAACACTTTAGTTTATCCACTTCAAGACGTGTAATGTATTTTTGTTCCTTTTTTACCTTCCAGAGCGACATTTAGTGGGCTCTCTTTCTGGAGACAATCATGCCCCTCGCCTGGGTATCTGGTATGTCGTCAAGTACACGGCCATGTCTGCCTCCTTGTTCTGCATCTTCAACAGCCTACAGGGGGGCATACATACGTACTCTTATTCTGCTGCTGGAAGAATGAAGTGGTAAGTAGAGCACTGCGCGGGCGGATTTTTCCAGCCTTACCCAGCGCAGCCCGAAAACTTCATGCTCGCGTTCGCCCAAGCCCTGCCCGGTGTTTTTGAATATGGCCCGTATCTGGCCCGGGCCCGAAAAGTCTGGGCCAGGCCCGGCCCAATCCGTTTCAGCAAGGTGCGCCTTGAACATAAACGAGGCATTGTCCACTCTTCGGTTCTTGTGGAGGTACCTTCCTTATACAAAATATATTCTAGTAAGTGTTTTGGAGCTTCTTTCGATGTCACGACATTATCTGGTGCACTTTGTGTACTTTCGATTAATTACTCCCGTAAAACTTTTGCGAAATATATTCAAGGTAATATATATTATATTTGTAGTCATAGCTGGCTGTTTCATGTACATAGTGCTAACCACAAAATCTTAATTTTGCATTTCAAAGAACCACTACAAAATATACTACCCACATAAGGTGGAAAAAATGGCAGACACTTTTAGTTTGAGTCTACATAATTTGCATGCGAGCCGGAGCTGATGAGTAAAAATAACATGTCTTCTGCAAATGTTATGTGTTATGGTCTTTCTTGCGCAACATGCACATGGACGAGAATAGACAGACACCATGGTTACAATTTATTACGCCATGCAATAAAAAAAATCGCAGCATATCCACGAAGTGGTGATGAGTGGGCGAAGCGTTCGTTTGTCCGTGCATTCGTTTGCCCGTCCGTCCGTATGTCTGTCCGTGCAACCATCCGCCCATGCGTCTGCCCGTCCATCCGTGCGTCCGCCCATGTGTTCATGCAACTGTCTGTTTGTCCATCCGTCTGTCTGTGAGTGCATTCTGTGCGTGACATCTGTCTGTCTATCTGTCCATCCGTCCATTCGTGCTTCGGTCCGTGCATCAGTCCATCTGTCTGTGTGCTCGTCCGTCCTATTGCACACAGTTCTATTGACTAACGCCATTCAGGAAATGAGTCAAGAAATTGTGAAGAGACAGCGCCATCTATTATACTATATGGGAGAATCTGCTAGTTACACCTGATGCAGGATAAGGTTAGACTAAGAAGAGCTTCGCCTCTTAGTCTAAAAAACACGCTCTAGCTACTTCTGGGAGGGATACATCAGACTGGGCAGCGTTACAAAAATTAAAGCTGTCGTGGTTGACTCCTCGGCTGTCTCCAAGTGCTATGTTTTTGAGCTCAAAACAAGGTTGTTTTCCTCACCCTTCTTCCCGAGTAGCCGCCACTGCAGTTTCATAATCTGTTAAAATGAGCTACACCCATTAGCAAGCGTTCCACCGTTATAAATTTAGGGGTGGAGCTCCTTAGTGTGTGGGTAATCCACTCCTCTAAAGTAGTAGTAGTAGCAGCAGCAGCAGCAGCAGCAGCAGCAGCAGCAGCAGCAGCAGCGGCGGCGGCGGCGGCGGCGGCGGCGGCGGCGGCGGCGGCGGCGGCGGCGGCGGCGGCGGCGGCGGCGGCGGCGCAGGGCAGGGCAGCCACCCCCCACCTCTAGTTTATGAATTGCTCAATAGATGGCGTAGTGTGTATATGCTATATGCCCTTGGAAATAATCACTAAATGGTGTTAGTGGTTTTAGTATAGTTGGCAGACAGACAGACAACCAGTCGGACGGACGGACGCTTCATCCCACTCATCATCATTCACTCCGTGGAAATGCTGTGAATTTTTCTCCTCTGGAGATGTCTATCGCATCGTCTTTTTGTGACGGCCTTCAATCTTTGAAAGTATTTTTTGTGGCAAAGTCTCTCTGGGCGCTCAGCACAATACCTGCAAATCCTCCCCTCAATAAACAATGCTCACCTGCAATTTTCACATTATTTGCATGAGCGTAAAGAAGTCCTAAAACAATGTGTCTTCAGTATGCAGGTGTCTCAAAAGCCTCGGCATCAGTTCACCACTATCTGTTTTGAGCGTTACTTCCTTATTGTAATATGAAACTGTGCGATAAAAGGATGGAATGCCTTCAGAGATGTGTTAGCCGCAATGTCACTTCAAATATGTGCACCGCACCAACCTGCACACATTTAACGATGACAATATACCTTTTCACGTAAAAGTCTCCCCCGCAGCCACAGGCGCAAACACTGTGGAATCTGTTGACTTGAAGCAGCTTCGATCGGGACACACTATCGTTTGAAAAGATGAAGCTATTAAGCGAGCATTCAGCAAAAATCGCGCCCATGCATCACAATTATTACGCACTTGTTCAACATGTAGGTGTCGTCTTAGTGACCACAACCGTTCACATTTCTCAGCGAGACTGCCATAAAGGCCACCACGACAACGGCATTGATTCATGTCACTCGTATTGAGGTGTGCATAGTACTTATATGGTAGCAGCCTGTCAGGCCAGTTGTCGTCTTACGAAGTTGTTGAAGGGCGGGCTGACGCCAAGAGTGTCTTAGTCTTCAGCTCCCTCTTCAAGTTGGACTTTGAAGGGACTCTACTGCTTCGTTCAAAAGAGGCGACAAACACAACCGGGCTTCTTGTACCTGTTTCGTGGAGTACAGCTGACATTTTATCGGTGGCGCATGTCCGTTTCAGATGCGAAGTAGCCGAACTTGATTCGGTGTGAGGTGTGACCACCCTTATAACGCATGCGCATCCGCTCCTCCTCCCTTTTCTCCCCTACACTCCGCGCTCTTTTGTCTGCTAGCGAGTTTCTTGATTAAAGAAACCGACTGATTGCATTGCACAACCGCTCACTGGCCACACCGTATACATAGGCACTGGTTCTTGGCCTCTAAGATAATGCCTGTGGGAGGTTTCTTCTGTACGCTGTTGAACAATGAAATTCACAGTGTGCGCATTATCTAAAAATGGACTGCAAACCTCTGTGTCCGTTTGGAGTCTTCTATCTCTCATTGGCCATTAGCAGCGATTAGCATGTTTCAGTAGGAAACACCAGTCCATGGCTGTGTGCTTTCCGCCGCCCCAGGTTTCTTCTCCCGCGCAACGCCACGCTTGAGTGCAAACGTCGACGTCGCCGCTAATGTAAGCGTGAGCCTTACCTCTTTGCATCCTCACATGGTTTCCTTAAGCGGGACATGGTGTAATTATTTTTCTTGTGTGGCTTCATACATTTAGCACAAGGTTGAACTGTTACTTTCTTCAAATAAATGGCAACACCGCCGTGATCCTTCGCTGATGTCTTTGGTAGTGCAACTTCTTCGCGACCATTTGGGAAATCGATAGCTTCGTTGAACCCTCTTATGTCAACGTCCTGCTACGGCAATGTCTTTTCGGCGATAGTACTGGTATCGGGCTCTGAAACTCATTGTGACAAGTAAGAATCATCCCTATGTCATGGACATCTTCGAAGGACGCAGATATGACTGCTAGCATAATGTCTAACTTGCTCCTCGACAAATGATGGTCGTTGGGAAGTAGAATGGCAATTAACTCTCTTTTATCCGACACCCAATGGACTCCACTGTTATTTGGCATCACTTTTCCCAATCGGTCCGACCCAATCATACAGTAGACTTACACCGAGTTCACAGTTGGCACTTGGGAAAATAACTCATTCGCCAATCGCTTACCTTCTGCAATGATGACTTTGTGAAAACCATTTGTCTTTGAAGGTTCAATGATGTCACCACAGATAGAAGGAATATTGACAGGTTCTATCTTCACTAATTAGGACAGTAATTACAGAAATTAAAACAATTAACCTTTTAACCACTGGAAATAGCTGCTTGAGTCAAATGGGCGAGTTAAAGCTCTTTCTACGAATAGTTTATAGCCACTTCGAAATTTTTGAAAGGCAGCTGCTGGTAATCATCACAGAGCGATGAAATCTGGCTGATTTACCTGGCAAAACCGAAACCGGCGCACCAAACAGCCCCTGTCAATCACTTTGAAAGCACCCTCAATGATAAGTTAACGGTTTTAAATTGTGCATAAAGTTAACTATTTAATTTATTTAATTACTGCCATGAATAATGGTTGTGCACTTCTGAAGATGCCTTCTGCCGAAGTAAAGGGAACACCGCAGGTAGCATGCAGATGCATCCATTCTGTAATTTCTTCAAACACCCAGTATATGTGACCTGGGCCTAATACGGGCCTGTCTCAGGCCCGGGCACGACCTGAGCTCCCCGATCCAACAATGTCTTTCTTACCTGGGCCGGCCCAGGCTTGTGCAGTGCTCTAGTGGTAAGCATGGAAATTGACAAACCGAGCCAGTTGGCTTGCATTTGTTGTTGATTGTATAGAGCACTCACAAAAGCCGAGGAGAGTGTTGAGGGATAATGAGGCCTTTCCTGGCTTCTGAACATGTGCAAGGGAGACGAACAGATCCTTGCAACTAAATTAGCGAGACGTCCTCCTTATCCTGCTCATGTGCATGCTGCATCTACAACAAAGTTGAAGGATAAACGGGATGCGTTCTGTCCTGGAGGCAGCACATGCACATGAATGGGATGAACAGGATCCAGCGCTGTCTCTTGACTTTGGTTGTGAGACGAGGCATCTCCATCTCATCTTGTTCATGCACATGTCCTGCATCCAGGACAGTGTTATGGGAAATGTAATGCCCTGCCCTGATTGCAGAACCTGCGCTCTCTCACAACTATTCAGTTGTGAGACACTTCGTGTCCTTTTTATTCCTTATCCTCGTTAATGCTGCATGAGCTAAACAAGTGGTGCTATCTTTGCTCCTGTGCATTAAGCGTATATTTTGAGAACATCAGGAATCTGCCACACTGAGCTATGGAAGAGGCAATGCTCCTTTGCAATTGGAACATAATTTAATATAAACCTTGCACTAGCAGATCCATCACTATGCAGACAGCTACCATCTTGGCTACAGTCTTTCTCAAACAAATGCTCATTCTTGGCTGATTCGATCTCCCCATTCATATACTTCTTATTCGGATACCAAAAATGCCCTATTTGGGCCTGCGAGACAAGGAAATACGTTTTGTGGGCGACTGATAAACTAATATGTAGTCAAGTTTGATGCATTTAATGAGAGTATAAAAAAAGGTGATGTTTGAAAGTGCTACTATTATTGGGATTTCTGCTGAACAGACAGGAGTTTTATACTGATGTATCAGGTCACAGTCTTCGAGCAAATCCTACCAAATTAGCAATACTTTTGCAATGTTTTTTTTTTCTAACTTTCTCTAGAAAAGTAAGAAAACAAAACACCACCCAGTATCTTTTGCGCTTTCTTCCGTCGTGAAGCATAAAGACGTAGTTCCGTTTTTACGCCCTTCCAGCTGCATTTCAATGGGAGGGGAAAAGGCAGTGAACGCCTATGCTTCACATGCACATAAAATAAGAACTTAATTTCCTGCATAGCCTGCAGTGCAGCTTCAGCTTGTTCAAGGGGTACCGACTAAAACATTTTCAGTCGTAGCTTTTTGGCATCAACTGAAAGGTCAAACACCCCAGGGCATAAAATATGTACGGCAGGGTGTGAGTGCTCCCTGAAAAAGTAATTACAGTATGTTTTTAGATGCTAGTTTCAGTTCCTACTGTATTCTGTTGCAACATGGTACGAGCTTCTCATCATGTGCTTGTACTGAATAGTATCGTAATGTTCCCGCTGCTGCTCCATTCATGACTTGGTTGGTGACTCACAGGTTGCCATTTTTAATGTTTTTGGAGTCATACAAGTATAGCCATTTTGAATGTTCTGGTGCCTGACATAATTACAACTAGTCACGCTGGTGCATGAAACACTAGAATTAACACCATGCTAATGTTCGTGTCAGTAGGTGCACCTTGCGAAAATGGCAAAAGTAAAGTATCTTATCATCATAATAACATATTTTAGCTGTGAAATAACACAAGCACAGAGTGGCGTCGCGGCGATACCATGATGCGGTCTACAAACCCGATCATGTTTTTCATACAGGTGCTGCTTGGATTGCTGCGAGTCCCAGCGGGGCTACGACCGATCGACAAGGGCCCAATATTGCCAGCCATGTTCTCGGCCACCGATCAAGAAAAGCTGACGGCCGTGGTGTTTCATTGGCTAAGCATCATTCCTGGAGGAGCGAAGATGACGTCATCGGACCCACCAGGAGCGCTGATGGATGCATCTGTCAACGGGACTATAAAATGGCTCTTCAGCACGGCACTCGACAGTGGGCGTGGCGGCGATGCTATGATGCGATCTACAAACACGATCATGTTTTTCGTACAGGTGTGGAAACGATACAGAAAGTGTTATTCTAGCAATAACATTTGCCTTATCTTACTGCCATGCCCATGGTCAATGTGCGAAGCGATTACTAACATGACTCCATGTTAAGATCTCCGCTTCCTGTTGTTACTGAGTGGCGACGTAGAAACTAATCCAGTGCCCGCAGATGGCCATTGGCCTAAGTAACTAAAGGCAATCACGGACGACATAAAGAGAACTTAAAAAGAAAATCTGTCACAAAACAAAAGCTAAGAGCAATCAATAAGAAGCTTGAAATATTAGTAGATTGGAGAAGCAGGTTTCTGATTGCATAAAACGAATAGCAGAATTAGAAAACAACATCAAAGGCATGAACAAAAAATCAAAGAACTAGAAAACAGAAGTCGGTGGTCAAACCTGATTGTCTACGGAGTTGACGAACAACAAAATGAGTCATTTCAAAAGCTTGATAACTTTGTATCGAAGGCAATATTTGAAGATACTGTCGACATAAAGACTGCAGGTATTGAGCGATCCACCAAGTTGGAAGAACTAAAGGGGAATAATAAAACAGGCCAATAATTCCTAAGTTGCTTGATTATCGCGACAAGGTCAAAATAAGTACTCCAGTCTTGTTCTATACTGAAAGGGAGCAGGTTATTCACTAAGTGAGGACTTCTCGCTTGGTGTACGTGAAACTAGAAGGAAACTGTGGAATATCACGAAAGAAAACCGTGATAGAGGAGAAAGGTGAAGGCTTATTTATGACAAAGTTTAGATCAACGGTCGTCTTTTCACTTTGGATGAAGGCAGCAAAAATATTGAAGTAAAAAAAAAGAGCAACCACCAACAGCAGAGTCTTCTCGACGAAAAACGCACTCTTTTAAATGTAATGTGCAAAGCCTTGTGAATAAGCAGACCAATTTGAAGCACATATTGGCTCTAAAACCTGATATTGTTACTGTGAGTGAAACGTAACTACAATCTAATATATGTGACCATGAAATCGTGTCACCGAGTTGCACAATTGTCCGCAAGTAGGAACACTAGAGGCGGAGAAGTAGCACTTGTTTTACGGCAGGGAATCGCTTACCCTACGCGGTCATGCTTGAAGTAAATGGTGTCAAAGCAATTTGGTGCAAGGTTCTCTTAAACGACGGTTTTGTGTACTGTTGGTGCCATTTACAGGCCCCCGAAGGCTGTTGAAACGTACCCAAGTCCTCTCCTGGATTACGTGAATTCGCACATGCTCGGTGGCAGGATTATTATGGCGGGTGACTTCAGCCTAACAAATGTAAACTGATCCTCCTTAAGTCCAGGTCCTCGGATCGAACAATATAGTGACTTACTTCTTATCTGCTTTCAGTCTAACTTGGCTTGTTCTTTAAAATACACGAATGCAAGGCGCATTGCACTCAGTGTGAGATCTTGTATTTGTAAGTGATCATTTTTCCGCCGATGACGCAAGTGTTGAAACAGTTGACAACATATCGATCACAGAATAGTTCTATGTACTTTCCCTTTGACGGTTCCAATATGACAGTCTAACTCAGTAAAATATGTGCTCTTTTTTAACAAAGAAAATGATGGGGCAATAATTACCTACTTTTCCCATGAGTATTCCAATTTTTCAAAGCTATGTGCAGATAAAAATTCAAGTATAGATGAAGTATGGGCACAGTTTAAACATGATATTATGCACTGTATATCTGACTTTATCCCCAAGCGATAACAGGTTTGAAGGAAGCACAACCCATAGATTACCTGTGACATTATTCACTCCAAGTGCAAAATAAAGCATGCAAGAAAGACTAAAAAAATGCTAGGAAGTGCTAGCTCTCAAATAGCAACGCTAACGTTAACCTTAAAAGGAAAGGTATTAGACGCAAAACGGCACTTTTATGGATGCACTCTACAAAGGTTTTATCAAGAGGACACCCGATAAATTCTGGTGATACATAGGCATTAAACGGACGTTACTCAGCGTTTCTCCTTCGAACTTTCACAATGAAGTTTTCCCAAACCAACCCAATTAGCGTTTCTGGCTGAAAAGGGCAAGATAAAAGAAATAACTTCAATTCATACTTTTACGCAGTTTTTAGCACTGATGACTGCCTAAAGTTTATACCGGGTTCCCGTCACGTTGGCCAAGGCAGATCGCTTCCATCGTTGAATACTGCAGCTTCCGGCATACTTTCACTGCTCTTAGAGCTTGATGAAAAGAAAAGTAGTGGCCCTGACAGAATACCAAACGCCTTTCTTAAAAGCTTTGCTGAACCCATTAGCAGGTACCTTCACCTTATATTTACAAAGTCAATTGGTAATTGCCGTCTGCCGGCAGACTGGAAAATCGCGACCCTGTACACAAATCAGGTGATACTTCGGTCCCGTGCAACTACCGGCCAATTTCTTTAACGTGCACTAAGCTGTAAAATGCTTGAGCACATTATAATAAAAGTAATTACTAATTATGTAGAAGAAAACAACCTCATCTGTTTATCTCAATATGGGTTCAGAAGTGGGCTATCTACTGTCACTCAACACACAGAGCCTATACACGACTTTGGGCTGGCAATAAACGATAAATCGCAAATTGATGTAAATTTCTTAGACTTATTTAAGGCTTTCGACCGAGTGTCTCACTCTAAATTCATCACTAAACTTATAGAAAAACTAGGCAATGGTCCAATAGTTGAATAGATTAAGGATTACTTTTTATATTGCTATCAATTTGTGCACTATATTGGGCATACTTCTAACACCGTTAAGGTCCTTTCAGGCGTGCCGCAGGGATCTGTCCTCGCCCCGCTCTTGTACCTCCTATTCATAGATGACATTGTTGAAACAGTAAACGTTAAAGTTAGATTGTATGCAGATGACTGCATAATTTACAGTGACATCAAAGACATATGCAATCAGGTTGCCCTCAAAAATTCTTTAAACGTCGTAGCACAGTGGTACCGAGACTAGCAGATAGTTACTAATTCTGAAAAAACGGATGTGATGAACATGTGCAAAAAGAAAATCAAACTATTATTTTAGACTCCCTCGGAGATGTCACCCTTTGCACAGCAACTCAGTATAAATATTTAGGGCTTTTAATATCGTCTGGACCTTAAATGGACAGCGCATGTACAACAGGTGACAAAGAAGCCAATGAACAAGTTGCTAAACCGGACGTTACGTCACGCTTCCGCCGACACGAAGAGCTTATCTTGCATTACTTTTATAAGATGAATGTTGAATACAGGAATATAGTCTGGTTTCCTTCGACAAACAGTGACATAGATATCTTCGAGAACGTAAAGCTCAAGGCGGTAAGGTTTATTTTTAACTTCTTTAAGTGAATGGATTCCCCCTCCGAACTTCTGCACTGAGCAGAGCTGCCTACGCTCTGTGATAGAGCAAAAATACACCAATTAAATTTTTTTACCAATTTTTTAATGGTCAGTTTAAAACTAATGCCCCAGCCTTCGCCGTTAAAAGGAAAAAGGAATAGTGCCTCAAAAACAACCCTAAATGTACAAAGAATACTTTTGTAGAACAACACCTTCCGTTTTTCATTTTTTACCGTATAATAAGAGAGTGGAATGCACTGGATTCAATCACTGTAGCACAGCCAACACTTCAAAAATTTTTAGAAAGTATTGAAAGTTTCGTATGGCGTCTCTAGTTCTCGGCTAAACTGCTAGAATATGGGTGAAAGCTTTCACACTTCGTTTTATTTTCTTGGATCTCTTGGTTTTGTAGGCCATATAAAATACGTTTTTTTGTCGTGTAATATGGCGAATCCCATTATCGCGAACACTTGCAGTAAAGATGTTACTGCTGTGTGCGTTTAGTTTTTGAATAGTTTGTTCTTCTTGTTGTTATTGTATTGTAAACATTGTACCTTGCTTGTACAATGTTTGTATTTTCCGCTCCTCATGGAGGGTTCACGTTATTTTGTAAATAAAATTTTAAAAACATAACGAGAAGCTCAGGTGACACTTCCGGACTAAGTTAGAATGAGTGCAAATCCAGAAATAAATATACAACATAGACATGCGCAACCTTCACATAGCCTTAGGCTATTAAACTACCTAACAATCTCTTTTCTGATAACTACAATACCACGGACATGTCGCTGATACACCTTTCTCAGTTCCTTTTTGTCCTAGGCTTCCACCAACCCAAGTCCAGCTTGATAGCTGCCTTTGCCTAGAATCTTGACCTCTTTAAGAGGTGGTTGATAACTGCAGGTTTTTAAATGCATAGGCAAATGCACCAAGCTTGTCCTATGCAGTCCCTAATGTAGAATGGCCAACTTGCTTCAACCTGTTCCTGAAACTTTTAACTGTGAAATATCAGTTCTGATGTTCAGTGGGCTAGTCTACAACTGAAGTTACAGATGTGATCTTTCTGCTTTGAATATACAGCTCAGCTGTGTCACTCTAGGCATTGCACAATGCTGCCTGGTGTGCCACAATGGCCACTTGTAAAGCAGCGAAACAGCATCTGCCTTCTGGGACTGGGCATACTTTAATGTTCACTTTTCTAGGCCATGTTTGATGTACACAGCTCTTCCATACCTGCTGGGATCATTATCGAACTGCGCGAGTTTGGTTCGAGATTAACGTGGAAGGAGGTCCTGGTATCCTGAAAGGTTTCAATAAAGTTCATTGAGGTAAGTTAATAGTGTAGACAGCAGCTGACAAGCAAATAAGGTGCTAGAAGTAACGTTTCTTCGTTTGAAATGTCGCAGAATTTGTCTAATTTATTGGAATCCTTGGTAAAGCTCTTGGAAAAGTAAGTTTGGCCACCCTTCCTTACTGGCTGGTACCAATCGGGGGCACAGCCACTGGAGTAGCAGTTTCCCCCGTATCCTAGCCGTCCCCTTAGCTCATTTCATTCCGAGTGCATCCACTTTCGTTCAACCGCTTACCGTTAGTGGCGCTAACCACTACATGTTCGTCTGCTACTCTTTTCCCGCCGTGGTACCCATATTTCCCGCCGTGTTACCCATAATGCAGCACACCACAAGTGGTTGGCTTCTCCTCAATACAGATCGTGGGAAAGTTTTTTTGCCCGTTTTTAACACCTTGGGACGAAAAATGAACAAGATAGTGTGGTGCAGTTTAAATTTCCCGCTGTCGTGTCCGGTTTGCGAAGATTTACATGGAGAAATTCATCAAGACAACGGGCAATTAGAGGTCTGTTTAATTAAAGGTAATGTGCTCGTATTTGAATAGGTTTATTACGGCTGGGCCGTGAACGTATATCTTGTATATCATTTGAGTAACGTTGCTTTACATTGGCCTGAAACTGGAACCAATCAGACGTCGTTTCATGAGGGGTATATATATTTGATCGCAAGTATATTTCTTTTATCACTTTTTACTTTGAGTTTTAAAAGTTGCAAATTCGCGTTAGGCGCGTTCGCTCAGAGGAACCAGTGAGTAAAAAGGTTATACTCACTCTCGGATATATATACCCTTTCCTAAGCGACCTCAGTGCTGTGCCGGTTGGTCCTTCGAGAAAGTCCCCTTTACACAGCGAGGACAGAAGGTGTACGGCAAGGGCTTCGGCATAGCTAATCAATTGGTTGATGAGCGTAGTATTTTTAATCAAACAATCATCTACGTGTCTTGTTTTCTAGTATTTCTTGCAGGTTTAGTCCACCAAAGTGCGTTCTCGATGCCCCGAAAACGCCCTAGTGTACTCCTGTGCCTGCCCAGGTGACGGGGTTCCCATTGAATGAGTGCGTCCGCTTTCGTTCAACTGGTTACCATTGGTGGCGCTACCCAATACATGTTTGTCTGCTACACTATGGCGGTTCGAACGGAGCTACGGTCAACTTCAGCATTCGTGGTCATATTTCGGCCGACAGAGCCCTCATAGTGTGTCATTATATGCACAAATAAAAATTTATTCGGATATAAATATACTAAATGTCAATCAGGAATTCTTTGCGATTGAATCAAAGCCAGAAACGCCCAGCTTCCGAGAAGAAAATTTCTCAGGTGGGTTGGCTTCGCCGCAGGGCATGGTGAAAACAAGTAAAAAAGTTGAGGCCCCTATCCGGCCCACTGAGCACGAAGTTTCATTTGACATCTCACCTAGAACTGATAGATCTCAATAATTTGTGTGTCTTTTTGGGACGATATATAACGGATAAGCGTAAGGTATTTTTAAATTTCCCGCCACGGTACCCATAACTGCAGCATACTGCAAGTGGCTGGCTTCTCCTCAATACAGACCGTGGGAAAATTTTTTTTGCCCGTGTTTGACCCCTTGGACGAAAAAAATGAGCAAATAGCGTGGCGCTGTTTAAAGTTTCCCGCTGCCGGGGTCCAGTCTGCGAAGTTTAGCAGGTAGAGACGCATCGGACACTACGGGCCAAACGAAACTCAAACTTTTCGTAGTGTCGATGCGTTTCTACCTGCTAAACTTCGCAGACTTGGACCCGGCAGCGGGAAATTTAAACAGCGCCACGCTATTTTGCTCATTTTTTCGTCCCAAGGGGCAAACACGGGCAAAAAAATTTTCCCGCGGTCTGTATTGAGGAGAAGCCAACCACTTGCAGTGTGCTGCATTTTGGGTACCGTGGCGGGAAATTAAAAATACCTTACGCTTATCCGTTATATATCGTCCTTGGTAGATTAATATGGCTGGGCCGTGAGACGTACATCATGTGTATTCTTCAGTAACGTTGCTGCACATTAACCTAAATCTGGCACCAATCGTAGGTCTCTTATGAGGGGTATATATATTTGATCGCAAGTATATTTCTTTTATCACTTTTACTTTGAGATTTTAAAAGTTGCAATTCGCGTTAGGCGCGTTCGCTCAGAGGAACCAGTGAGTAAAAAGGTTATACTCACTCTCGGATATATATACCCTTTCCTAAGCGACCTCAGTGCTGTGCCGGTTGGTCCTTCGAGAAAGTCCCCTTTACACAGCGAGGACAGAAGGTGTACGGCAAGGGCTTCGGCATAGCTAATCAATTGGTTGATGAGCGTAGTATTTTTAATCAAACAATCATCTACGTGTCTTGTTTTCTAGTATTTCTTGCAGGTTTAGTCCACCAAAGTGCGTTCTCGATGCCCCGAAAACGCCCTAGTGTACTCCTGTGCCTGCCCAGGTGACGGGGTTCCCATTGAATGAGTGCGTCCGCTTTCGTTCAACTGGTTACCATTGGTGGCGCTACCTATTACATGTTTGTCTGCTACTCTATGGCGGTTCGAACGGAGCTACAGTCAACTTCAGCATTCGTGGTCATATTTCGGCCGATAGAGCCCTCATATTGTGTCATTATATGCACAAATAAAAATGATTCGGATATAAATATACTAAATGTCAATCAGGAATTCTTTGCGATTGAATCAAAGCCAGAAACGCCCAGCTTCCGAGAAGAAAATTTCTCAGGTGGGTTGGCTTCGCCGCAGGGCATGGTGAAAACAAGTAAAAAAAGTTGAGGCCCCTATCCGGCCCACTGAGCACGAAGTTTCATTTGACGTCTCACCTAGAACTGATCGATCTCAATAATTTGTTTGTCTTTTTGGGACGATATATAATGGATAAGCGTAAGGTATTTTTAAATTTCCCGCCACGGTACCCATAATGCAGCATACTGCAAGTGGTTGGCTTCTCCTCAATACAGACCGTGGGAAAATTTTTTTGCCAGTGTTTGACCCCTTGGGACGAAAAAATGAGCAAGATAGCGTGACGCTGTTTAAATTTCCCGCTGCCGGGTCTGGTTTGCGAAGCTTAGCAAGTAGAAACGCATCGACACTAAGAAAAAAGAGACCTTTTTTTGCCCGTAGTGTCGATGCGTTCCTACTTGCTAAGCTTCGCAAACCAGACCCGGCAGCGGGAAATTTAAACAGCGTCACGCTATTTTGCTCACTTTTTCGTCCCAAGGGGTCAAACACGGGCAAAAAAATTTTCCCGCGGTCTGTATTGAGGAGAAGCCAACCACTTGCAGTGTGCTGCATTTGGGTACCGTGGCGGGAAATTTAAAAATACCTTACGCTTATCCGTTATATATCGTCTTTGGGTAGATTAATAATGGCTGGGCCGTGAACGTACATCATGTGTATTCTTTCAGTAACGTTGCTGCACATTAACCTAAAACTGGCACCAATCGGAGGTCGTCTTATGAGGGGTATATATATTTGATCGCAAGTATATTCCTTTTATCACTTTTTACTTTGAGCTTTAAAAGTTGCAAATTCGCGTTAGGCGCGTTCGCTCAGAGGAACCAGTGAGTAAAAAGGTTATACTCACTCTCCTATATATATACCCCCTCCTAAGCGACGTCAGTGCTGTGCCGGTTGGTCCTTCGAGGAAGTCCCCTTTACACAGCGAGGACAGAAGGTGTACGTCAAGGGCTTCGGCATAGCTAATCAATTGGTTGATGAGCGTAGTATTTTTAATCAAACAATCATCTACGTGTCTTGTTTTCTAGTATTTCTTGCAGGTTTAGTCCACCAAAGTGCGTTCTCGATGCCCCGAAAACGCCCTAGTGTACTCCTGTGCCTGCCCACGTGACGGGGTTCCCATTGAAGGAGTGCGTCCGCTTTCGTTCAACTGCTTACCATTGGTGGCGCTACCTATTACATGTTTGTCTGCTACTATATGGCGGTTCGAACGGGGCTTACTTCAGCATTCGTGGTCAAATTTCGTGGTACACTTATGCAGTGATTCCATGGCAGCACTACGGGCGTTCGCCAAGGGGACGGTCTCTGAACAAACGCTGAAAATACTGCAAGGCAAGAACATAACACATCATCGTCTGAGTTGGTTCCCAGCTCACCTTGGACAAATCAACGATTCCCCTCCCAATCTCAACGAAGCAGCACACGAGGCGGCGCGAGAACTCTCCAACCGCGCCTCCTCGGGGATGCGTTCTGCCGGTGAAGGGGATAACCGGGAAATTCTTACAACATATAACGAGCTCACTAAACATTTCTACCTGTCTAGAAGGATT